CGGTCTATGAAGGAAGTGGGCAACTTCATATTTTGGTGCTATCGGCATGCAAGAAATGCAAGAAGAGAACACTAAGGTAAGAACCGCTTCCATGTTTCCCATCCATAATGCAGTGCTTTGGTGGCGTCGTAAGTGCAACGAGATCAAGCGAGGTGCTGATCCCATCGATACTTGGATGATTTCGTCAAAGAATTTCGGGACCAATTCTTCCCCGAGTTCGCCCAATACGATGCCCATAGAAAACTTCGCCGGCTCAAGCAAAAAGGTATGGTTCAAGAATATGTCAATAAGTTCACCGAGTGTCGTGGGGCGTTCAAAGTATCGTGAAGGCTCTTACCATGACCAAATCTCTTGTGGAATTCACCAAACCCAACTCCTCCAAAGCCAAGGATGAAGGGAAAAGTAGGGGAGAGCGGGAAGAACGGGAAGAGAATGCCCATTGAAACCCCCTAGCGGCAGGTGGAACCGACCTCAAGGTTGGTCATCCGACGAGAAAGAAAAGAGACCGCTCAAGTGTTTCTTTTGTGCTGGTCCTCATTGGGCTAACCAAGAGAGGAAAACTTTCAGCACTCATGGCAGATGGTATCAACGGGAAGGAAGAAACTCGCCTCGGGTCATTGAAGATCCTCAATGCAATCAAGGGCCAATCTTCAACCAAGAAGAAAGGCCTAATTTTTGCCGATGTGTACATTGCCGGAGCCAAGACGAATGCCTTGGTGGACACCGTTGCCTCCCACCTTTTCATTTCCGAAGTCATGACCAAGAAACTTGGCCTAAAGGTGGAGAGAGCGGGAGGATGGCTAAAAACCGTCAACTCCAAAGAGATTCCTATGGGGGGGACTTGCTCGGGTGCATTGGCACATGGCAACCCATGGAAACGCTCGAGGTAATTCCCCTTGATAACTATGAGTTTGTCATAGGGATAGATTTCCTTTGATTGAATACAAACTATATATGCATCGCAGACTGTACTTTACAATGCTTAGAATCTATATCCCGACAATCCGGAAAACCTATCAAATACCTCTCGGCAGTACAACTAGCCAAGGGGGTGAGGAAGAACAAGGAGACTTATGTTGCCGCCCTCAAGTTCGAGGAAGACAAAGGAGAAAAGGGGGAACTCCCTCCCAAAGTGGGAACCTTGCTTGAGTTGGTGGTCGATGCTCGCCCCTTACCATGGCTCCCTATTGAATGGCGCCATCTGAAGTGGAGGAACTTCGATGATAACTACTTGATGCCGGATTCATTCGGCCCTCTAAGGCACCATTTGATGCTCCCGTCCTCTTCCAAAAGAAGCAAGATGGATCTCTTCGGCTATGTATTGACTACCGAGCGCTAAACAAGCTAACAATGAAGAACAAGTATCCCATTTCAATCATAGCCAACTTATTCAACTTGGAGGTGCCCGATGGCTTTCCAAAGTCGATCTAAGGTTGGGCTACTATCAAGTCTGAATAGACAAGGGGGACGAGGCAAAAACCGCTTGTGTGACACGGTATGGATACAATAAGTTCCTCGTGATGCCCTTCGGTCTCACCAACGCACGGGCTATGTTTTGTACTCTCATGAACAAGGGACTACAACATTCTCGTGATGCCCTTCGGTCTCACCAACGCACGGGCTATGTTTTGTACTCTCATGAACAAGGGACTACAATATTTTCTTGATCAATTCGTTGTTGTTTACCTTGATAATATAGTAGTCTATAGCCAGACATTGAAGGAGCACACCGAGCATTTGTGCCAAGTCTTTAAGGTGCTAAAAAAGAATAAGTTGTTCGTTAAGAAGGAGAAATGCTCATTCGCCCAATCGGAGGTGACTTTCTTGGATTATACCATTGGCAATGGTACCATTCGGATGGATCAAAAGAGGGTGAATTCCATTCTCGAGTGGCAACCGCCAACCAAGGTACCCGAACTCCGGTCATTTCTTGGGTTGGCCAATTATTATTGACGGTTCATCCGTGGGTACTCCCACATTACAATGCCCTCAACCAAATTATTGACGAAGGGCAGATCATGGGACTGGAGTGGGCAACATTATGAAACCTTTGAGGCATTGAAAAAGGCTATCTTAGCATTACTTGACCATTCCAAGCCATTTGAAGTCGACACGGATGCCTCAGACTTTGCCGTTGGAGGGGTCCTCATGCAAGATACCCATCCTATTGCTTATGAAAGCCGGAAGCTCAATGAGACGGAAAGGCACTATACCATCCCAGAAAAAGAGATGACGGTCATGGTGCATTGCTTGAGGACTTGACGAAACTACCATCTCCTGTGATCGAGATTCATGGTTCGGACTAACAACATCGCCACAAGCTACTTCTAAACTCAAAAGAAGCTATCCCCCAAGCAAGCTCGATGGCAAGACTTTCTTGCCGAGTTCGACTTCACCTTCGAGTATAAGGCCGGCAAGACTAAATCGGTGGCGGATGCTCTAAGCTGACGGTCCGAACTCAAAGCCCTGATGAGTCTCCCACAAAGTACCTTCGCAGATCACAGGCAACAAGGTATGTCCCACGTACATCACATGCAACAAGGTATGTCCCATGATCCCTATGCTATGAATCTCCTAGAAAATGTCAAGCAGGGTAAGAAGCGGAGATTTTGGCATGAGGATGGCCTCTTGTACACCAAGGGCCATCGCATTTATGTCATGTACCATGCACCCTTCGGAGAGAAGTCATGATGGAATGCCACAACTCCAAATGAGCGGGCCATCCAGGCATGCATCGAATGCTTGCCTTTGTAGAGGAGAATTATTATTGGCCTCACTTGCACGAGAATGTGGAGGCGTATGTAAGGACTAGTCTTGTGTGCCAACAAGACAAAGTCGAGCACAAAGTGTTGGCGGGTCTCTTGGAACCTCTCCCCATTCCCGAGCACCCATGGGAGAGCATCTCCTTGGATTTCATCATCGGAATGCCCAAGTCCGATGGATTCGGCACCATCATGGTAATCGTGGATCGATTCTCTAAGTACGCCACGTTCATCCCAGCTACTAGAGAGTGCCCCGGGCAGGAAACCGCCCAATTGTTCCCAAAGAACATTGTGAAGTATTGGAGATTACCAAAAAATATTGTTAGTGATTGAGATAGTTAAGTCATTAGCAAGTTTTGGAGGGAATTCTTCGAGCTACTTGGGTTAGATTTGAACTTCTCCACAAGCATGCATCCTCAAACCGACGGACAAACAGAGCAGACCAATGCATTCATTGAACTCTATTCACGGCATTTCGTGAGCACAAGCCAAAAGAATTGGCGTAAACTACTTGACGTGGCACAATTTTCATTCAACTTGCACAAGAATGAGTTGACCGGCTGAAGTCCGAGATGGTGATGTGCCACCAACTGCTCACCCCAAATTTCATAGCCATTGGGTACAAAGGTAATAGTTCTTCCGCCTTCAAGTTTGCTAAGGAGTGGCCAGAGGAGATTGATCTTGCCCCGATCGTGTCTTCACAAGCCAACCAAACAAATGAAGAAATTTGCTGATAAGAATAGGAGACCGGCCGAATATCAAGTTGGAGACCTTGTCCTCGTAAAGCACCACTTGCTACAAAAGACAAGGAGCCAACTCCACAAAGGCCTCCTTCGGTGCTATGAGGGTCCCTTCCGAATTATAAAACGAGTCGGGAAGGTTGCCTACAAGCTTGAGCTTCCTTCAAAGTTTAAGTACCACCTAGTATTTCATGTAAGTATGCTCAACCTGTATTACGAAAACATGGATAATCCCGAGCGCACAAAGTCCCATCAAGCACTGATCGAAATTCTAGTCACACAAGATCGGGAAGTTGAATCCATCATCGCAAGGTATGTCCATTGAAAACATTATCCTCGTCTTCATGAATATATGGTGAAGTGGAAAAGGCTACTCTAAAGCGAAGCAAGTTGGGAATCAGCGAAGTCTCTATGGCAATTCCCTAATCAAATCCAGTGTTTCCACAACGAGACAACGAGGGTGTCTCTGGATTTAGTGGGAAAGAATGTCACGAACTAAAAAGTACCACGTCATCAATCTAAAGGTCACCACGTTATCTACTGAAAAGGTCATCACGTTATCTACTGAAAGGGGCTCATCAAAGCCATTAGATTTTTAGAGGACTCAATCTCTACCATTAGATTTGCTTGACGAGGATTAATGCCCTCAACCGTTGGATAGGGTCAATCTCCATGGTTCAATTAATGTGACGATGATCAATATATCCCACCGTTATATCAAGTAGATCTCTACTGTCAGATCAATTAGACAAGGATTGACATCCTTTACCATTAGATCACGTAAAAGATCAATGGCTATAATTAAAGGGATTTTTGTATAAATAGGGAAGCCCTACCCCTCATTTGTATCACCCACTTTAATTGAACAATACAAGCATTCTTTAAAGTTTCTCTCTCTACTCTCTCTAAGAATTCCCTTCCTTGAGTGTGAGAGTAAGGCTTACTTCGGCCAAGTAAGGTGAATCTAGGTCTAAGTGCCACACAGTTCGTGATCGAAAGAATCGTCTCGTGATACACATGGGTGCCATGTCAACATTATTTGCTTATTGATATCCAAGTAAGTAGTTTTTAACAATTCTCGTTAACAGAACTTTCGGAGGACAAATATGTCACACAAGTACTAATTTGGGATTTTTGATATCACAAAAAATAATTTATGATAAATATGTCACAATGGGTTTCAATGGCTTTTACCCTTTCAAATACGATGGCTCTTGAGCTAGTATATATAAGATTTTACCTTGCATTCCATTTCCACAACAAAAATACCAAAGTTCGACAATGAAACAAACTCATTTGAATAAATATTTAAACAGCTCGATCGTATTGTGTTGCCTAGGAGTGGCGTACCTCATATAAAGAAACTTCCCAACTTTTACCATCTTGATGGGACTACAATGACATGTTCGCTGACACCAGATTTCGGTTGCCGGTGTTGCAGAATATGACTCAAACTAAACATTTCACAGCGGATACTGAGATCAATATAAGAGGAAGGTTTTCAAATACATAAGTTTTCAATTGTTCCATGAACTGTGTACAAGGACCTCTGAAACAAATAAACAGAATTAAACAAGTTCCCCATCGAGGCACAAACCTTAAGATCTCCACCTCTCAAACTTCTATCAAGAAAAGCAGAAGATAACTCACATGATCAGTACACACAAACAAGACATGCTAGAACCTACGTATGGCTATACATTGACAGAAAGAAATGACAAAGGAAGAGGAAGCAATCCATATAAAACCACTTTAATCGGCCAGTTATCCCTTCAAAGATTCAAGGAAGAGTCCCATCATCTTCTACATCCTGGTTTCTTTGAAATTTGGCATAATGCATGACAATCAGAACCTTCTCCATCCTGGTTTCCCTGAAATGGCATAATGCACGACAAACAGAAAACCAGACATTAACATAGACACGATGAACAGAGAAATGACTAGTGTATGAAACAGCCAATCACGTACGAAACTAATTATTCTAGCAAAGAGAAAGAAAGTGTTGCCCCAACACAAGCGAAAACAAAAGCTAGTGTTGCCCAAACAAAAACAAAAAACAAAGTGACGACTAAGAGTCAAGCTAAGACAGATTACAAATATAGACAGTTCTTTTTTTTTTCTTTTTTTGTGGCCAACAGCATTTGCAGAACGATGCTTTTACCCAAAATGTCACCAGAAAAAAAAATTCTAAATAATTACATCCCAAACAAATGATGCAAGTGTGCCTGTAATAGGTAATTGGAAGCACTGCTAACTCATTATCCCGGGCTGAGCATGGGCTGTGCGGGCAGGCGGGCTTTTGCCATCATTTGGCCTGTCCTGACCATTTTCAGGCCTGGGCCTTTCCAGCCCCAGATGCTGGCCTGGAGGGACCGAGCCATTCCAGGCCGGTTGGTCCAGGCTAAAGCCCGAAATCTAAAAAAAACACACATTTCTTGAAAAGTCAAAATCTTGATGCAATCTGTTCTAAAACTGGAATTGTGTTCCCCACTACTTTAGAAAAAGATTCGAGTAGAAGGACCCTAACTATGTGCTCATATATCTTCTACAATAAACAGAAATTAAAAAGCAGATTTATAAACAACAATGACCCAAGTACACTAACAAAAGGGAGACGAGACCAGATCTATACATTTTATTGTACAGCAAACCCATTAAAGAGTGTCTGTGCACAACGAGAGAGAGAGCGACAAGCCTTAAGATATTGAGGGAGGTGACAGGCTCAGTGGTTCGTGGGCCAGTTGCAAGCAAGTTAGGGCAGAGAGAGGTTAAGTGTTAAGGAGATCGAGAGAGTCAGAACCATAGAAGGTGCGATGGAGAAAAAAGTTGACGGGGAAACGTTGTACTAGGGTTTTTTAGACTTAAAAGTAGATATATGTATTCTACATGTAGTTAGGGCCGGTCCGGACAATTAGGTATCATGTACCTAAAGCCTGAAAGACCGGACCGACCTGAATTAAAAGACAAATTTATTTCAGGCCCGGTGTTTTGGCTCGAGCCTATCAGAGCCAGAAAAAGACTAGGCCAGTCTGGGCGGTCCGATCCAGGGTTTTGGACCGCCGGGCATTTTTGCTCAGCTATCAAATCGTTGTACTTGTAACAAACCTGTGTTGTCCACCCAGATAGAAGTTAACAACTGTCAACAGTTACTAAGAGAAAAAATGGTTCATCAATTTAGCAAAGAATATTCAAAATGCACACAACCACTAGCATCAAAAGAAATGTCTTACCATTACTATCTCTAGACGACAACAATGATCTGTCAGTTCTGCTTCCACCTTTTCCATTTACTTGGACTTGCTTCTGCATTCGTGGTGACATTGAGGTCAACTTTCCATTGTTCGAAGAAGGCAGAGAATGCCTCCTGACAAAACCATCTTCAACCCCATCTTGACTGATCCTTGCAGATTCATGTGCTCTCAGCTTTGCCTTTGCAGATTCAGTTGCAGCCATGTAGCTAGGCAACGTAGAAGTATTCAATGAAACGTTCTCTGAGAATTCCTGTTTCGCTGGGAAAGACATCCTCCTCTTGGTCTTCTGGCTCATCTTGGCAACATTATCTTCCTTCGGAGTCGGCCCCTCATGCAATGCCAAAGTGTCATCACCCTTTTCATTATTTATGGATAAATGGGCTTCAATTGCAGGGGAATCATCAAGAAGCACATCGACGGACTCACCAACAGACACAGGTTTTGATGGAGTTTCAGACTGAATTAGTGAGGAATCTCCAACAACTGCCATATTTTCAACAATTTGTAGTTCAGCACCACCTTCTACATCTTTCTCATCTTCATCGGGAGACTGGAAGGTTGAATCCATGAGAGTTGACTTTGGCTTCTCTGGCAGAGCTTCAGACTTTTCACGAGCCTCTTTACTGGCTGCAGCAACTTTTCTCAAATTCCCTTTTACCCTCTCAAGCTCATTTTGAGGCTGTTCTTGCGCCTGTTCTGGTTTATGATTTATAATCTTCCTTTGTCCACGGTTAGGCTTCTCAATATCAGGTGCAGGTTTCACTGAATTGTTGTCACCATTTGAAATGGGGACTCTTCGGCTAACACGTTTTGTCCTGTTTCGCTCAGTTTCACCAGATGGAGCGCCGCTCTGGTGCTTCTGAAACCTTGACCCAGTAGCTTTCTTTTGTTGTGGAAGAGGTTCCCAAAAGCGGGTTGATGACCAGCGTTCCAACCAGTTGTCAGTTGAGTTTGGTTCAACCGGATCATAATGGATATTCAGCGGCATAGCAGTAGTTGAAGAAAGAAGCTAAAGCAGGAATATGGCACAAGCTTTAGTACAAATACAAAAACGTGAAACAAATATGTGTAGTTAGAACAAACTCTAATAGATGCCTAGCATAGACTTTAAGTTGACACAACCATGATATGATTCTTACGTTCACCTCATGTGTGAGCATGCTAAACTTAACCTACTTAGCTGAGCATTTAACTTTCGGAAATAACAGACACTGAAACAGCTTGAGCCATATACAACCTGGGACTAAGAGCTTCACACGGTTATTTGTAGGAAAAGTCATGCCTCCACAAACTTCTGTGCTACTTTAAGGCGAAGCATATTTTCAAATTGTATTAGGCCTGCATTTGGATACGTACTTGAACTGACATTCATTGGACAATGTACAACTCTCTGTCATAAAGTACCGGACTTCATCCCTCAATGTGTGCCCTTATATTCATTGTCATAAATATGTAAAGTTCAATACTTGGATGGCAAAAAGCTTTCACTGGATCTTGTTCATTGGGTCAAAAGATACTCAAGAAAAAGTACAATTCATGCTTTTGAATAAGTAACAAGGGAATTTCAAAGTACCTTACAGATGAAAGAATTCTTCAGTAGCTTCTCTGGCTTATAGTTAGTACTTATATCATATGACTTCACATGATGTGCATCCTGAAGAAAAACAATGGAAACGTGACATGGAGAACTGGAGATAAAAAAAGTAAAACTATGAGCCACACATTATGTGACTCGCGCTCTGAAATCAACTTTCATCTAGTCGCAAAATATGATTTCCATATACAGCATACTCAACTTTAATAAGACGTGCAGGTTCATGTCGAGCAAAGCTTCTTATAACTTCTAAAGAAAAGAGAAAAAGAAAACAAGCGACACAAGGTGTTTCCGGCTGTAGCATTTGCAATGGTACGAAACTAAGATGATAATCTATAGTAAGGTCGCCCCTTTTCTAGCTTGTTCTCTTTGATTTGGAAATATTTGTGCACTGAACTCCTGAATTAATAATAAGTTTTACATATGTAAAATTCCACATTGAATTGTCTCAACCACGACCACGAATTGTGTTATTTACCAATTGAATTGTCTCAACTGCCTTGAGAATATTTACCAGACATCTTTGAATGCACTTGAAGCCCCCAGAGGAACATTCTTACCTTTCGACCACGAATCAACCTTTGGAGATTGACGATGCCCCGCAGGCAGACTAGAGTAGCGATAGCTTGTCGCCTAACTAGGTGTCCACGAATAAGCGCCTGCAGTCTTATTATGCCCTTTAAAACACGAAATGCACGACGCGCCTGCACAAGTTATAGCTAAATCATTTAAGCAAAATGTTGATATAGCTTCCCAAGGATGGACTAAGAGTAGAGAGAGCATCACCAAGTAGCCCCTAAAAGTTGCCTGCACTTTTGAAGCAGCCTTTTCTTGTCTGATTATCTCAGCAGCGCTCATGTCTGGTCGTTCAAAACCCACATTATCCCCTCCAGACAATAAGGGAACCACATTCTGTCCTACTTCATGATTATCTCCCCTTTCTATTTCTTCCGTCCTTTTGCCAGTGAGAGGCAATTCATCTGGAAGAGTGTGAGATTGTGGAGCCAAATCTTCAGTTGACGCATCAAAGGCTGCAATTGGCTCTTTTTCTGTCGCGGTTTTCTTCACAAGAAATTGTGTTCACATATTAGGACTTGATCACACTTTGCAAATAACAGTAAATAAATTGCAACAGGGTTAACCCATATCTGCATTTAGAGTTCAGACTACAGAAGAGCAGCTGAGCAACAGTGACATGAAGAAGAAACAGGAACCACCAAATGCCACGTACTATCACTAAATTGGGTTATAAAATTGAATAATGACCACTGATTGATAATGTTTCGAGAAAGGCACACGATGACAGAGAAATGGATGCTACACACTTGTACCAAGGCTAGCAGACAACTTTACTTCAACCAGAAGGACAACTTCTTTGCCATTGTGAAACAGGCTATTTCACCAAGAACTTAGTTGAACTAAGGACCGTGCATTGTAATTGAGCCAGAAGCTGATGGTTTTCTTTCAATTAGACGGACATTTCCTAGCCATTGTGAAACAAGTCAACTCAACTGAGAACCTCAGCTGCGATATAGAGAATACAGTGTAGTAGAGCAAACAACCAGGCCACACATGGCAGCATGACAGTCTACCTTACACATCGTTAGGATGTCAAATGTTAAAAATTTCCATATTGTCAAGATACATTTACAAATCGAAAAGGGGAAGAGTGTTTGAAGGGCAAAGACTTTAAACGGACAAGAAGTCTGTTTGTTGCATATCTGTAAAGTGGACGGATATATATCTGGTTAAATCAATTTTTCCCTGAGCTACTCATCTAGAATCCTACGTTTCCTATTGTTTTAGGAACTTGTTTTTGCCTACAGTAGAAACTGCAAAAAGTAAACCTTACCTTTGGGACAGTTGGAAGTACAGATCTAGCAAAAAACTGGGTAAAGTAATTCTTACCTTGACCAACCTAGATTTGGATGATTTCTTCCCGAAAAGTACTTGCCTGATCCATTTACCTCCTGATTTACCCATTGAATACAAGTCCTAGTCACCACCAACGCGTGAGCCTGCAAAATTCGACAGATGTGGAGAGCCATGAGAATGAAACAACAAGAAGACTAAACAGACTTAGGTATTGCACCAGATTTTGGAAAAGCACAGCCACATTACAAAACCTCTACCCAATAGCAATATCCAAAATAGAAGTTCGCCAAACTGAAACTAGCAGCGTTCCGCAACATGAACAACAACAACACTTCCTTCACACCCTAATAGGCGAATTAGCTACTCGATATTGCACAACGAAATAGGGAGGAAAGAGAAATTGCAACCTCTGTGAGCTCACATTATGCATTCTAACCTCACTAAGCATTTCATGTCAGGGTCAATTAACCGAGTAGAAGTGAAAGATCAAATTCGGGAGAAGCCCAGAAGACAGATCCAACGAGCATCACCCCCTAGAACAACAGGCTCCACAAGCAGTAACCCCTCAACCGTTACAACCGAAAGGACCCCAACGCAAGAGCAGAAAATCAGAAAAACGCACCTCACCCCACCACCCCCCCCCCCCCAAAACCCAAGCACAGCTTCACAAACCCAAGAACACAAATGACGCAGGAACTCAACCAAACAAACAGCCACGCTCCACCAGAAACACACACACACACAAGAAACACAAAAACAACGGGCCAATTCGCAGAAGGGTCGGCGAACTCCGGCATCAAACGCGAAGGCGAAAGCCACGCATCAAGATCCGAACTCACTGGGTATGTGGAGGCAAGGTTTTTGCAGTACCGCAAGCAATGCTAGGTAGATCTGAGACAAACCTGAGAGGTAAGAGAGAGAGAGAGAGAGAGAGAGAGCCACTACTGGTGATATACAGTGAAGAACGAAGGTGGAGAGTGAGAAGTGTACCGCTCTCCTCGCTGTGAATGTAAATTGCCTCTTGCGCTTTCATGCTTTTTTCTTTTTTTTTTTTTTGGTGGTCGGAACTTTGCGCTTTGGTGTTGGATTTGGATGAAAGATTCTGTGTTTTTTTCTTCTTCTTTTTTTTTTTGCGGGAATTACTGAAAAGCTCCGTGAAATATCGTTCGGACAAAAACGGTGGTTAAATTAATTAAAATATCGCAAAATTGAGGGATTAGGAGACATGATGTGTCGGGGGTTTAAAAGAAGAAAAAAAAAGAGGGAGTGGTTGGGAATGGTGGGAAAGCCTACACTAGGATAGGTTGCTTTCTAATTAAATGAGATGCTTCTGAAAAATGACTTTGGTGAAATTTAAATAATGAAAAATCTCACCTGCGGTAAGCGATCTCTAGACTTTTTCAATTGAAACACCCACGAGGTCAAGAAAGTTTTGCTTTTCGAGCGCCGCGGGAATTAAATCCTAAAAGTGGATCGGTCGAAGTGTGCAAAAAGCTCACTTGAATATCACATTGCCGATAATATACCAGAAATAAAAAAAGAAATAAGCATTCGAATTTTTTCAAGCAAAAAATCCATCTACTCTTGTCGAAAAACAAAAGGCATATTGTCTCGAAGACGACACGGCATTCATCCAAAACGTGGAAGCAAAGTTCACCTAAAATTTCCTTCACTATTGATATCATTTCATTTTAAGTTTGATACCACAAAAAATCAAAAATTAGTATGCATGTGACAAATTTATCCAAACTTATTTTTTGACCGCAAAAAAACTCCAAACTAGTATGCATGTGACAAATTTACCCTCCGCTAGTTTTCGTTAAATTGTACCGTCAAATTGCTGAATTTGATGACACGTGACAGTTGGCGGGTGTACCCGTTTAGGGTATAGATTTACCAATTTATGATTTTTCGTGATATTAATCCAATTTAACGGATGGTAAATTTGTTACAAAAGTACCAATTTAGGATTTTTGATGGTCAAAAAATTAATTTGGGATAAATTTATCACAGATGTACCTGGTTTGGGATTTTTTGTAGTCAAAAAATTAGTTTTGGGTAAATTTATCACTGATGTACCAATTTAGGGTTTTTCATGGTATTGACCTTCATTTTAAATGGCTAAAATAATTATCAACTCGAAAAACTCTCATGGTCCCGACTTTTCAAAAAAATATATAATTCCTCACTAGCTTTTACCACGAGTTGAGTCGAATACCTAGTAATGTCGGTATCATCAACAATAAACTATTTTTCGATTGATAGGTCTCTTTCCCCACGTCTACATAAAGCATAAATTAAGGGATAATGGAAGAACAGCAAAATTCATAATCACAAATATCCGTTGCATAGAAGCCACAAATGTGGGGTCCAAATATCCATTGGGGATAATCTCTTGCCATTTCCGCCATCACCTCATAGAAAACGAATGGATAATGACACAAATTGTATTTAAACATTAGTTCAATATAAAATGAGGTCCCTGAACTTTTAATTTGTTCAATATGGTCCACGAACTTTATCACAATGTGCAATGTAGTTCTTAAACTTTTAATTTGTTCAATATGGTTGCTGGACATTTGGTATATATGTTAAATATTATCCTTCCATTAATTCAAGTTCAGGGACACGTACCAAAAATCCAGTATCACATTGAACAAATTAAAAATTCAGGGACCTTATTGCACATTGAACTAAAGTTCAAAAATCATTTGTGTCTCCCTTATACGAAAGCTACCCACATCTTTATAATAAATATAATAAAAATAAAAAATAGAAAAAGAGAGTAGGTTGCCAAGTTGAAGAGGAAGGGGATTCAACCTCGCGGTCTCACCATAAACATAGGTCATCTTTGGTTGTAAGATTCTTGGGACCACCTAATTCGTGGTTCACTCAACTTTGAATGTATATTGAGGATTATTATTAATGTTAGATCACTGCATCTATGTCGTGTTCAATAGAAAAACCTCAGCTAAAGTTAAGATGTCGCTAGAGACCACCTACAACCTGTTGTCTTCTCATATCTAATTGGAATAACAATGATGAACATGGGATGTTTTGTAAAAGTAATTTGGCTCATATTTTCTCTTTTCTTGCTTGCAATCAATTTAAGTCAAAACTTTTGGTGGAGGGCACAGTGTGTTGTAAACTGGGTACTGGTTGGTAAGTTGGTTACAAGACACTGTGTGAAACACAAGGCATCCAGCAAGAGCCGAAGCTCCCCTCCTATCACTTCTGGGCGCAGGTGGCTACTATACTAGCCTACCCAGAAAGTAGCCAGTCAAAATTAACGTATAGTATACCCTCTCCACCCAAGAGGTCCCTAAGTTTCCTCCCGTTGTTTTTTTTCTCGGGAGAGAAGAAATACGAAGGTAACTTATGAGGAGATCTTTCCACCATACCGGAAAAATTCTTTCTCCTGTCTCCCCTTGAGCCTTTTAAGGACCTGCTTAGGTCCACTCTTCCCCTTCTTTCAAATTGATTTTTTAGCAATTTTCTCATTTCCATTTGATATCTTACAAAAATGAGTATTAACAACAATAATGTCACTGAGGCGGTCGTTTCTCTGAAGGGAAAAAGTTTATTAGAGTCAGAACTCGAGTGGGCAGCATACATATATGGTTTCTATTTGCATTTGATCGTGTGGAAAGTTGAATTGAGCATTAATTATTAGCATTGGTTAGCATGATTTGGTACTTTGTTTCTTCTCAATGAAGTAGTCTCATCTCTACCTGTTTACACAAAAAATGACCAGTCTGTCAACGCAGGCAACCATGTGACCAACACATGAACATAAATAATCACGTGACTAATGTACGAGGATTATCATACACGTGACATCTTGCCGTTGGCCAAAAGGTTAATTTTAATATTTATAAACCAATATTGACACACATCGGTAATACATATTGACGGAAATTGCCAATCAATTGTTGATATACGATGACAAATGACTATCGATATTGATACTAATGAGTAAAGCGCAGCAAAACATCAAAACCCTTTGAAGGCATGAGGAACATGGGAAGATAGTCGCAATACAAGGGGACAAAGCGACTAAGGATCGAAAAGCAATCGGCATGTATATCCTTGCATGCTTTGGATAATAATTACTTGGGAGGAGCAAGGTTATAAAGCAATTATCATTCAAAGGCAAGATCATGGAGCGACAAGATCACGAGGTAATTGTCGAAGAGCAGTTACCGCTTGGAGCAAAGTCATGGAACGATTATGGTTTGGAGCAAGATCGTAGGACAACAAGGACCAATTGGCATGTGCTTTTAAAGGAACAACTGTTTAAGAACGAAAGGGATATGAGCACAAGACTTTCGGAAATGGAGAAGCATAGAGGTAACTGTTGAAAAACACTCAAGAAAAGTGCAACCACTGGAAACCACTAGGAAGCAATTACCACATAACCATTACAAATTCCACTAGTCGTCTACTAAAAACCCCCTCTCCCATACAAATCAAACAAATTTACTATCTTTTCAATACTTTTATCTTCATGTACTGCACTTTAGATTCGTGTTGTCAATTGAATTCCGGCATATATATTTATCATGGGTGCTGTGTCGTTGATTAAATTCCAGTATAGGTTGTTTACACTCAGTTATTTCATCGAGCCTGTATCTTCTAGACTATGTCATTGATTAAATCCCAGCATGCTTTGTGTTTGTACAGCCCTGTTCTAATTCAAGATGTTTGGTATCTTTTGCCTGTGATATTTCATGTTCGGAGTTGGCACCGAACCTTGTGTTTCCTTAAATAAAAATCGAAGAACAACTTTTAGTGAAGGTTATTTCGTCGTGGGATAAATGCCAAAGAAACACTTCCATATTTGAAAGAATTTATTTGTTTGAAAGATGCAAGGCGAAAGCGCATTGTGAAACATCTATACCACGTCAACACTCGCTCTAGCAAATGAACTTGAAGTAATAATTAATTCATACCATAGTCAATTATTTTAAAATAGAATTATGTAGAGGCGAAGCATCATTAGCTTGTCACATGCCAACATGACAAAATTAGTTTGGTAAATGGCAATTTTCAACTAATGGTATGGCCAAGCTACACTTGAAATTTTACCCAATTAGTCATAAATCTATTGTGTAAATGCCAAATCATTCATAAACTATTCAATTTTATCAATTTAGTCCTAAACCTTTATGCGAACTAAATTAGCAAAATAAAAAATTTTAAGACTAAATTAACATCCGTACAATAGGTTTTATGTCTGATTGAATAAATTTCCCAAATTGCACCATGCGTTAAAGCTTATTAGTCTTGTACACGATCCATTGGAAGTGGCAAGCATAACGGTGGGGAAAAATATGACGGTGTAACCGTCTAATGCTAGCCACAACTTCTGTTTGGAGGAAATCGGGAACTTTCTCAGCCGGTTTCATTTTGACTTTGTTTTTTTTTTAATTTTATGTTTCCTTATTGTAAGCTCAAATTGAGGGACAAAATCATAAGAGGGCCACAAAATCAATTTTCTTGAATATGAAGAAAGAAAAAATAAATTAGATATCAAAATATAAATAATTACAAGTAGAAAAATATTCTCACTTACTAAAAAGAAATCATTAAGGTCATTATATGGATCTATTAAATTTAAAAGATGACAAAACACTTGAAATGTTGGCTTTCCAACTAATAACAAAATCATTGTGCAATGAATTAGCTTCTCTTATTCCTTTCGTTGAAATCAAATTGCTCCAAAAGAACTCTCCGGTAACCTAAAATTAAGATCAATGATATCAATTATGCATAAAACAAATGAAGTAAGGAGAATATCAAAATAAGAATAATGAATTAGTAGAGAAAAAATTTACCCCATTGATCCAAATCTTGTAGATGAAGATGTGTTGGGACCTAAAACATCAGCAAATCAATCTTAGGATCACATGAATCAAAGGTAAAGTTAAAAAATTGATTTTCAAACGATTTTTATACAAATTTCACCTAATATTGCTTCAACGTTGGGTTCATTGAAAAGATTCACATGACCACGAGACACTTGACCCTATATCAATTCATGCGGATAAAAAGTCAATTTATAATAAGGTGTTTTATTTCAAAACAAAATAATAACAAGTACCAGCAATGATTGAAAACCCCCGATTCTTTCTTGATTGCAAATCAAATTTTGAGAATAGCTACAGTGGCTCATCTCATCCGAATTCCCAATTGAGGAAAATCAATGAAATTCCTTGTACCCTCGTCCTGATAGATTGCATTCGTTAATTCAACTAGTAGAGTTATGACGCATATTTCCAAAGAATTCTACATAATTATTGGAAAATAATTTGGAAACACCATACCGTGTGATTCAAATTCACTCGAGAGCCATCGTGTGTCAAGTGATCAGGGGCCATTTTCTTCTGCAAGAAATTTCATATGCATTAATTTACCAAATTACTATCAAGTTGAAAATAAATATATAAGAAAATTACGTCGGGTTAACTAGAATTATTAGTGAAGAAGTTCTTATTGTTTGATTATTATCAATTTGATTTGTTTCTTATTATTTGAATATTATCACTTTGATTTGTTTCTTCATATATCAACCAGTTTCAATTTGTTTCTTATAATTTTGTATCTCAATTTAAGCTTGCAATGAATAATTATAAAATCTCGAAAAAAAAAGAAAAGGAAAGTAGGGTCAAAATTTAAAACCGGTTGACCAAGTTTACCGGTTTCATCCACAAATTCTTGAGGCCGAGGTGTGACTGTCATTCCGTCATTGCGCGGAGACGGTCAGCTCAGCATTTTCCCGATCCATTTTGTCACCTCTACGCCTGGTAAAAGCCTCTGGACCGTTTACGAGGCAATGTCGGCATTGCAGCTTGGCTTTGATATTCTAATCGTTGTCGCAATCATGAAAGGCATTATTAGTCGACATTTGGCCTCTTAGTCATTATTAGTCGATATCATTGAAAACACCATCGCCGTTGGCTTTTCTATCCACTTTGAAAGCCCCAGACGACCGAACGTTTTGATACTTAAAAAAAAAAAGAAGAGTGATGGGATGGGAGCCGGTGCGTTATTGGGACATGTTTGTGGTTGAATGTCGGCAAAATAAATTTGGGTTCAATAGATACTTTTTCCGAAACATAGCGCATTTGAAAAATTCACATAAGATTCCCGGCAGAGATCCGATGGCTAGCGGAGGCGATGGCCATGCCGATCCCCTCCATCCAAACTAACTAAAACCGGGAAACAGCTCGGTGTGATGAGGGCATTCGCGCTAAATCTCATGAAAGATGCATGTTTTTGACTAGTAGGAAGTGTTCGTTTGATGGAATGCTAAGATTTGGGTTTGTTTTCTTCTAATAGCTGTGCACCGACACCGCTTTTTTGTGTAAAGACTCTGTTTTCCTTTCGGGCTCTTTGATAATTCAGATGACAACCCAGATGGGACTAAGGTGGGCATTGAACGTGAAGTTAATAAAAAAAATACAAAATAGTTGAGAAAGATAAATATGAATAATGTATTTAGGTGTTGATTGCTGAACTTCTACACGAATAATTCATCTGTTTCGGAAATAGGCATAGCTTGTTTTTCTCGTGGAGAATCAAACACATTGTTCCTATTTTCCCTTTTTCGGCATCACTTGATAAAATAAATCACGAGTAAATAATTTCAAAATCAACAAAAAATATTTATGATCAAATTTCTAGAAAAAGAATTTCCGCATTTCGAAAATCTAAATTTGCCGCCTCCAAGAACATCCGTAGCGTTTGGATCTTCAGGGCCGAACTTGAGACCCAAGGGACCGGATCAAGAACCTCACGACTGAACTAGTAATACCCATGACCAAGGGCCCCGGACTTCGGCTCCCGCACCAATGACCATGAGAGTCGAACTCCATACGATGGCACCCAGACCTCGGAATCTAGCACACGGACCCAAGACAGTGATGGGCGATCTCAAGATCCAGATGCTTGGACATGGGACGCTGATACCCAGACCTGGGACGCAAACACCTGGACAGGAGACTCTAAGGGCTCGAGTCATGTCCATATGCTTGGGTTTCAAGTCCTCGCTCCAAGGTCCCGAGTCAAAGGCACCAGGCTCTTGGGTCTACCTGCAGAATTGTGGCTCGAGCTTTTGAGGTCCCAGACCAAGCGTCAAGGTTCATAAAGTAGATCGCATAGCCCCAACTTCACGAGAAAATTATTGGGTACTTTCGGACTATGATAGTCCATTTCGCATATATCATTAAATCATGTAGTGGGATCAACATGATCTAGTTGCACACGTGAAGTGAGCTAATATAAACTGAAAGTACCCAAAAAAAGCTAATTCAGGGGATTAAGGTCCAAAGCCTAAGCATCGAGATATCCAATCTAAGTGTCATGGTCCAACCCTCAAATGGTACTTGACATAATAACAGATCCGGATTATGACACTTGAGCAAGAATTACTAGCCCCACCCTCGAGATCTTGGTCCAAGTGCTAGGGCACAGGATCAAGGGGTCCCGGTCCAACCCCCCCAGGGGACCGGGTCTGGCACCTCCCAAGTCCACGGCTTCTGAGGTCGTGCACCAAACTCAGGTCTAACTCTCAAAAACATGTGTATTTTTTTGACAATAGATATCTGCAAATGACTTGCTCGTTTGAAAAGTACACCAAACACCATAAAAAGGTAAACCATTTTCCCTGAAGATAACTAATTTGAAGACTCCGACCAAAAAAGAGAAAACTAATTTTAAGACATTCTAAAAAGCTTAAGTGATATGATGAAGAGGGACATGTAGCATCTGAAAGAAAAAAGCTGAATAAAATTCTTCCTATCTGATTCAAAAAGTTTTTCCACTGAGACTAGAATTAAATGAACCATGAGTTTCTTAAAGGCATCCATGTAATGAAAGTGATCAGTGAAGATTTGCTCAAATTTATCAGGGTAACAAATATATATTCAGAAACAGGTGGACCTAGGTTACTGCATATCACATAATCTACTACAACAATCTAAAGTATATTGCTTGGCAAGAGATAATCGAAATGCATGGCCTTCGATCATTAATTTGCAAAACTCAGACCTGAGCAGAGATCTGGCCATTCAACAGCGATGCTTCTTTCACACTCTTCGACGGGCAAGCAAATATTTGCACTGCTGAAGTAGACCATTTAGTACAACACCACAATTCCTCAAGAAAGACTGTGGGACCCACACAGACAATGAATTTGATGTTTCCGATCGATCCTAGAGTTGAGAAAACTTTAACTCCCACAGTACCTGAAATATTTTCACGCCGTAGTACCGCAACTGCAGCAGTTCAATCTATACAGTGGCTAAAGGCCTGTCCAACAGCAAGAAATATTAACAAAACGCTTTCCAACAGAGTAACAACTGTTCGTTATTAGAAAATAGAACCAACAAAAAGATGCTAAAACATGATATTGATGACGTATTCAGATAGCAAAAATGGTTATGGCCACGGATCAAGTGCTATAGGTGTCCTTAGTTTATAGATAAGGAAACTGAGAAGGGTTCTCACATATAACTCGCTAGTGTTGAAGTTGATCCCAAATCTGATTTAGTAGATCGGATCGTTTCATGTTAGAGAACGGCGACACTTTGGATATCTCTCTGGAATATCTACGGAAAATTTCTATGGGCGCAATCCTAATTTTCAAGCCAGGAGAAGAATAAGGGGAAGGACATTTGGGTTCCTAAAATGACTTGCAAGTCTCTATATGTTAAACCATCCCAGGTAGTGCCTCCGTGAAAGATATAGGGTTCTTCTTCATCCTCAGATCCTAGGAAGAACAGTAGCTTACCAAAAAAGCAAGATAATACTGTTGGTTGTAATTCTCAATGGATGAGTATGGCAATGGTAAATGACGATGCAATTCTCTTAGATAATGCTTTCACTGTGCATAACTCTAGTGATAAAACTCTGTCCATTCTGTTATGAAAAAGGTTGATAAGCAGGATGCTCTTCCTGCTGTGAATTCTATTGATGCTGATGAAATGCTTAAGGTTGTGTTGTGAATGCAGACAAGATCAAGGAAGACAGAAATAATTGGTAAGAATGGCACTCCCAAAGTGTTAAGTCCATCCACCTCCACACCTTTTTCATGACAAAAATTTATGAATGCGATAGTAGGGGCTTTCCAAGCCCCATAAAATGGAGGGAGGAACAGAAACTGGTTTCTCGTTTGTGGAGGTCAACATGAAGCTTGTCACTTCTCTTTTTTCACATAGATAGCAAACGGTGCATAACCACGAGTCACATGTGCTTTGAATAATTTTGCGGTATCGGTCATTGCCCAAGAAACCTTGGTTAGTGGCCAAAGGTTGCAATGTGATCCATGAAGATTCCAGCAATGGTGAAGAAACTTTTGGTTTGTTTGGTCACTATTTATTTGGAAACTTCTTTACTAAGATGAACAATAAGAACGATGGACATGTCAAGAGGAAATTTGACGTGGCTCTTATTTCTGGTGATTGGTTTTTCTTATTTCCTGCATCATAGTTCATGTTGCATCCCACTTATGCCTGAAATGGTCTCTCGTGTACGAAGCCTTTTAGATACTTCCGATTTCTTGACCAATAGTCCGGATTTTCTTGCTGCTGAAGTAATCTTGGAATCAACCCATTGGATATGCTATGTTTCAATTGCTCAACCTTGTAATGGACATCCTACTTTGCAATTTTTCTCCAAGCACATAAGATTAAAAGTACGTGCTTAAGGAATTCAACTACAAGCATTTCATTGCATTTCCTAGAAAGTGCAGACTTTGGAAGACCAACAGTTGTCTTTGCAGCTATATCTAATTCAGCTCATTCTCCTGATTCTCATACTCTTGAGTCAAAAAAGAAGATTAAAACAGAATTGAATCAGTTAAAACAAGCAGAGGAGTTGTTTTGAAACAAAAGCGAAGAGATACTTGACTTAAGCTTGGTGACCACAACACTTTTTTCTCCACAAAGTTATCAAGCCTAGTACTTCAAAGGATACTTTACATGGACTCACTACTTTCATGCGGTTACCTCACATGATGGAATTGTCCATGAAGCAGTATCTTTCTATCAGGATTTACTTGGTAAAAAGGACTCTGTATCTACTGGAAGGTCTATTTCTCATCTGCAATCTATTTTTAGTTTTCAACTTGATGAAGCTTCTTGTGATCATATGGTTTCTCCAATAACTAGAGATGAGAAAAAGACTAACTTAAGGGGTATGACTGCAGAAAAGACGCTTGGCGTGATGGATATACAGCTCACTTCTTTAAGGTGGCTTGGTCTATTGATGGTGAAGAATTTGTGAATACTATCCAAGACTTCCTCAGGCGTAGCAAACTGCTTGCTACCATTAATACCACTGTCATTGCTTCAGTCCTTAAGACTCCTGATGCTTCCAAAATGAGTGACTTCAGGCCTGTTTCCTGATATAATGTCATCTGATGCATCACAACAATTTTAAGCAATAGATTGAAGAAAACTCTGCCTGATTTTGTTCACTGAACGAAGAAATACTGTTGAAAAACATTATATTAGTTCACGAACTTGTTTGAAGTCATCATCTACAGCAAATTTCTTCAAGTCGTTCTTGAAAGTGGATCTCGTGAAGGCCTTCGATAGCATGAACTGGGAACTTACATCAAATTTTCTTTGTGCCATTAATGTTTTTATTGCTTGTATTGTAGCTTGTAGCTTGCATGTTGTGACACAGCTTTTTTATGATGATTTATGGAAGTCTTGAAGGTTTTCAAGAGGAAAAGGGCATAAGACAGAGAGAGCCTTTGTCCTTTGTTTTCTTTATTAATGTCTTGTCTGAAATGCATGGTACATCTTCACCCTCTTTGTCAGAAAGTTAAACTCACTCATTTGGCTTTTGCTGATGATATTCTGATTTTCACAAAAGGAAAGCCTGAGGACCTTAGAGAAATCTTGACAAGGTGCAGAAATTCAACATTATGTTTGGTTTGAAGGTTGATCCTCAAGAGTGAAATTTTTAACTGCATGGATTTCAGAAAGATAAATTGCAACTGTTGTTTCAGCTCAGTGGAATTAGAGAGGGAAGCTTTTGGTTCAGCTAGGTATCTTGGTTTGCCCTCCTTCCTGGAAAGCTGTCTCTCAAGGATTTTCAGGCTTTAAGTTGTGGAATCACGATCAGAATACGCGGCTGGAGTTGTAAAAGACTCACTTATGCCGGGAGATCGAAATTAATTAAATCTGTCATCCAGAGTATTGCTAGCTATTCAAATAATGTTTTCATCCTTCCAAACAAATTAATGCACATGATTGAACAACAGTGCAGTGCTTTTCTCTGGCATTGCTTAAACCCGATTACTATGGGACCTAAGTTCAAATGGGAGGATGTTTGTCTTCCAAAGAGAGAGGGTGGTCTAGGTGTCAAGAATCTATCTCGCTGGAACTCTACTTGTATTACAAAGTTTCGATGGTTGAATCAATGCTTATATAGGCTGAAAGATGACAACTTCTGGATTGTCAAAACTATGCTTAGGGTGAACTCTGGTGAAGATCACTGGAGATGGTTCTGCCACCTTTTTTAGTTTGAACTTGATTGCTGCAGTTTCGGTTATAATCAAAGATGATACTTGGCACTGGCCTATAGTAAGAACTTAAAACATGTTGAGGATTCAGAATGAGGTGACTGATTCGGAATGAAATGATTGCATTAAGTATTTAGCACAAGAAACTCAAAAATAGTTCACAGATTTGTAGTACTCATGTAAAGCTTCTTTTACTAACTACGATTTTTCTTTGGCAGGGAATGAAAGTTATATCCTCGGTGGTGGAATTTGTAAAATAAAGTAAGCACCCACTCTTTTGCTTCAAGTTTAAATGTAAGGAACCCGATTAATCGCTTATTTTTTCTTTTACAATGACATTGACGACTGTGGTAATTTAATGCATGTATTCTATAAAATAGTGGGAGTGGTTTCAAACAAAAACCTGTGCATATATTAAGTCTATGTGATGATTCTTCAATAATATCCATGCACCACTCAGATCTTAAATTTTTGTCCTTTTATGTTTTAATATATATTGAGCACCTCATTTTCTAGAATCAGTTCGCATGGTCACTGTTATAGCCCAAGATATTAAGTTTTGACATGAACAGAAAGTGTAAGAGTAAAAAGACATGTTTTCCTCACAACACAAACTGTTGAACTTATACTTTTTTACTGAGGAAAGCCCATGTGAAGCATCAAAAGAGCACTAGTTCTACTATAAATTCACGAGATCTAGAGATGACTTTCTCAGGTACATGACATGTGGAGCATCAACAAGAGCACTAGTTCTACTATAAATTCAGGAGATCTAGAGAAGACTTTCTCAGGTACATGACATTGGCTCCAACGAGCCAGTATTAAAGTATGTGCCAATCCTCAGGCATCACATGTACAAAAGGCCAACAGCTATCTAAAGGAAGGAGCAAACATAATTCAGGTTTAGTTTCTACACACAGGTGTATGAATTAATGTACAAGCAAATTGTGGAGTGAACTAAACTATGGTTACTTGTATGGTGGCAAAATCTTAATTAGGAAAATTTCAAAGTTGAAATATCAAGCATAGAGTATCAAAATTGAAATTTCTTGTCGCATTTTTTTATTTTGTGTTGCTGCTGTAATGCCTGAGGAAATACATGTACCAAAGCAATTGAACTCTTTTATCACATAAAACCGGTATCTGCCAATTTTAAAATTAAAAAAAGGCATTTTGAAATGTTCTTCCACATTAGATCGATTTTTAACCACAAAGTACACTGACCGTATATTCTCAATTATTCTCTGTTATTTAGACAATAAACTTTCACAAAATTTTAAAGAAAAATAATGGGATTAGTGATAATAATTAGAAATGATACTCATAACGAAACATTAGTTATTTAGTAATCAAGTGGAATGAATTGTTCATGCAAGGCATTAACTCTGTATCGGCATTTTGGCAATAAAAGAAAAAAAAAATCAACATAATCACCGATGTAAAAGGTGCAAGTAGAAAAAATTGAAAAATGCACTTTGCTATATTTATAAGTAATTTATATGTTTAGGAAATTTTTTTGAATTAATATGCTTTCGAATATATATAAAGATCGGCTTAATTGTGATTGAATAGATAGACATGTTACAGAAAAGAAGAGATCCAAATGATATTCGTGTAGTGAAAGTATAAAAATTGCCAATGGTCCGCCTTTTTACAAAAAAACACAATTAGTATTGTAATTAATGTGCTGAAAATAACTATGGTTAACAAGGAGAGGTTAAAAAGTGTGGTTAAGTGGGCCCACTTGTGGATGAGAGTTCGTACATAGTCGGTGTATGGAAGATTTTCCCATATGATGATCTACAAATTTGATATATCTCATGGGAAAAGCAGAATTGTCCACTAGAAACACAGCATTACCTGGATTTAGATGTTAAAACTATTCCAACTCAAAGGCCTCCTCCGAATCTGACAGAGGCAAGAGGATGCAATTTCCAAGCATATGTCCATTGAGGCACACATAGAAGTCAGTTGAGTCTGAATAAGCACCAAGCCTACAGCTGGCACTCTGAGGTATCATTTTTGCTTCCCGCATGCTCCATAGCTTAGCTTTGCAATAAGGACACAACTCCGTAGGGTGAAGCTGGGCTCCCCTCTGAATCAGCATTCTCTTAGCCATTGACATAGAGAACGACTTGAAAACCCCACGAAAAAATCCCACATCCCCCTCATCCCCTTGGTCTAGATGTTCGCAAGGATCAGACACATAGAGAACATCGTTTTTGCATTGTGGCATGAGAAAGCTTTTCCCCGATGTCCTAGAAAACCGGGTACGGTAAACAAAGTGACCAGGCACTTGGACATTATTAAAGAGGCCATCCTTACTGCACCCTGAACAGTAGATTAGCAGCTTTGCCAATGCTCTCCAGTTCCCATCAATACTGTGGCTACCACTAGATTGCAAATCGAGCATCATTTTAGGAGCTCTCGTACGACAAAATTCCTTCCATAAGACTCGTTTAGCAAGATCATCAAACCACTTGCACACAAGAGACAGGGTGGCAATTGCTTTAGGATTCCAATTCATCTGTTGGAATACTAAGAAAATCACATCCTCGCTTAGATGTCCTTTCGTGCACCGACAACTCGACGAGTGTATGCAGCGATATTGCTTCACGAGAAACATCTCGTCGACCTAATAAGACGAACAAAGAAAGACTCTTCATTCCAATCACACACCAAACATATTAACAAATTCCTCCTACAGACCGACATAGTAACTCGCGACTACGACACGACCACCACCGCAATGCATTCACCACGCAGCAGATCACTATTTCAGGCGTTCCCAACGTGAGCTCATAAACCAAACTCGACAACAGTGGACACGATCTCCTCCGAATTCCAAGATGCATACTAAAAATAGCCCAGACCATCGCAACTCTGCAGACGCGACTAAACCCAATTCACCCAGATAGGAAATCAGATGACCCAGATCGTTTACCTTCCCTCCGGCGGCGAGATCGGCGAGACTAGGGTTTGCGAGCTTGAACAAACGACCTCGAAATCTGGGGTCGAATCAGAGAGGCGGAGCGGGGCAGAGGCAGAGGAGAATATCCCGATCGTGCGCGAGGGGCGAACCGGAGCGCGACACGAGAGAGACCCAGCGAAGAAGACGAAAGCCCAGATTACGTGGGCGGCGGGTGCTTCGTCCGCGCAGCATCACATGGCGGATTGAGCTCGTGGGTATCTGCAAGATTCGCACAAATTCAAGCAAGAACGATGGTGGCTGGGAAGGGAGAGGGAATCGACGGAAACCGTGCAAGCAGAAGGAGTCAAATCAACTGCAGAAGAAGAAGATCAGGAAGAAGATGAGTGCGTCTGCTGCTGCTGCTGCAGTGAGTCGACTCGGTTCAAGTGGGTACTTCGAAGGGGACAAAAGAAGATGAGTGCGACTGCTGCTGCTGCAGTGAGTCGACTCGGTTCAAGTGGGTACTTCTTTTTTTTTTTTTTTATCGAAAAAAGTGGGTACTTCGAAGGGGACAAAAGAAGCGCGTTAGTTAAAAAAAAAAAATCTATAATAATATCTCAAGGGCTTTTCTTAGGATGCGCATTGCAACGATTCTGTGCCCGAGAACTGATTCTGCTCAGAAATGATTCTTTTTTATTTCTGACCATTTGAAAGCGTTTGGTAACGGCCCAAAATTTATATTCCTGAAATAGTAAAAGAACAGAAATGCGTTTAATAACGGCATAAAATTTCTTTTTATTAATAATTTTTTAATAATATTTTAAATATTTTAATATTTCTTTCTTTTCTTTTTTTCTTCTCCTCTTTCTTGGCCATGGCCGGTAAAATTTTTTTTATTAATAATATTTTTTTCTTTTTTTTACCATGGCCAGTAAAATATTTTTTTATTTTTTATTGAAATATTATAATAAAAAATATTTTTATTGAAAATATTTTTTAAATTTTTTTTGCCATGGCCTGGTCGCCGGCCATGGCCGATAAAATATTTTTTTTTTCATGGCCTAGTTATTGGCCATGGCTGGTAAAATAATTTTTTTTTATTCATGGCCGATAAAATATTTTTTTTATTAATAATATTTTTTTATTAAAATATTTTAATCTTGCCAGATACGGCGAGGGTGGCCCTCACGCTGGACATTAGACACTACATTAAAAACCAAGAAAAAGAAGAAGAAAAAAAAATTAATTCTCATTTTTGTTCTCAAAATCAAGAAGTTATTTTTTTTTTTTTTTGATTTTGCTCCAAAATTGATTCTGGGCACAAATTTGCAAGAATTTGTGCCCAAAATTAAAAAATTTAACAAACGGATTTTTGTTTCAAAACTGATTCTGGGAACAAAAAAACGGAAATTTTCACTATTTGGCCAGTTGCCAAACAGGCCCTTATTCTTCTTTTTCCTTTTTTTTTTTGACTTTTGTTTCCTTCTTTCTCTAATAGCGTAAAATCTATATTCTTATAGTTCTATAATTATGATCTGCAATTCAATTTTGAGAATTTAATGTTGGTTTCTTTAATGCAAGTAAAAACACTATCCTACAATAGTAGTGGGCTGATTGATCCAACCAAAATTTAGATTTATGATAGTCATATTTATTGTCTACGTATAAAAATTAAATTTCCGAACCGTATATTGAGGTTAAATATGTCATCCGATAGGTTTTGATTAATTATTGGATCGGACTTTGTGGAATATTCATGTATTATGGTAGAGGAACATTGATGAAAAGATTTTTGAAAAGGCTCGAAATGTCTCGATGAATTTCGACGTTTGAAGAGACGATAACAACAATAGCAACCAAGCTTATCACATTACGTAGGGTCGACTATATGAATCCTATCACGTCATTGCATTGGATTAGCTATTTTCTTTTCATTAATCTTAATTAACTGCCCTTTTTTTTTTTTTCTTTTAGAGTCGGCATTGCCCTTAGGCATGCAAAGTTTTCTTTTGAGGTGGTGAAAATGCACCATTTCAACCATGCAAATTTTGTGCTGCGTTATGTCGTAATTTTTTTTTTTAAGAAATCGAAGGTTCAATCCCAACCTTTGTCGAGAGATTTATCCTCTCGATTTTGTTAATGACAGAGCAACGATAAGGAATGAGAGGCATCCATGTCTTAAGCCATTCCAACAACTAATAATACAGACAAACACGATTGAGATCTTTCTTCTCTTTTTGTATTTTTGGCCCACCGTCTCCCATAATAAATCTTATCAACACATTTGAACGATAGATAATAATATAAATGGTTACTGAACTTTGAATTAATGTATAATGTTATCCCTAAATTTTTAATTTATTCAATGTGATCCCTCACCTTTAATCTTATGTGCAATGCTATCAATAAATATTTAATTTATTTAATATAGTCTAGGAACTTTTGAATTTAGTCTCTAAACTATGTAAAAAAAAGAAGCCAATGTCATTCTTCTATTAGTTCAAGTAACATTGAAAATTTACTTATAGTTCAGAGATTAAATTGAACATATTCAAAAAGTTCAAGAGCTCAAAGATGATGTTGCATATTGAACTAAGGTTTAAGAACTATATTGAATAAATCGAAAATTCAGACACTGCATTGAGTCAAAATTTAGGGCCATTTGTCTCATTTCCCCATCATCTGTATATGAGAATGGCACGTGCAATGCACGCGCCCGCAAAGTAGTCTACTGAAAATACCCGTTCGTCCTCCTCCTCCTCCTCCTCTGCCGTCGCCGCCGCCGCCGTCGTCTTCCTCCTCCGCTTCCTTTCCCATGGGCTATTACAGGCGACTAGCTTCTTCGCGTGCCCTAAAATCACTGAAATGCCCCTCTCTCCTGTCCAGGGTCTCCCCGTCTCCTGCCAGATTCGACTTGCTCCACCGCCGATCAGGCGGTGCCGCCGCCGCCGCCGCCGCCGCCGCCTTCTCCCCTGGTCTCGGCTTCGGCTACGGCTACGGCTACGGCTACGGCTTCTGTTCCCACTCTCGCTCGAACCTCAGGGAGAACGCCATCGACTTGAGCCAGTACCCTCCGGAGAGGATCAGGAACTTCTCCATAATCGCGCACGTCGACCATGGCAAGTCCACGCTCGCCGACCGCCTCCTGGAGCTCACGGGGACCATCAAGAAGGGCCACGGCCAGCCTCAGTACCTCGACAAGCTGCAGGTGTTTCTATTGCTTTACACATCGTTGCTTTCCTGTCTAAGAATTTTAGTTGTCGAGGTTTGTCTTTCAGTGCTGAAAAGAGAAGGAATTGGAAATGGCCGAGGGTTTTGAATAACTAGCAGAAAATGTCTTTTCTTTTGGGTGGTAGAATTCGATGGAAGCTATCAATTATGGCCTAATTCGCGCAAGTATCGATTGTTCTAGGTAGAGAGGGAAAGGGGAATAACGGTGAAAGCTCAGACCGCGACAATGTTCTATGATTACAACATCGATGGCCTTAAAGCGGATGAGGGACTTGAAGCTCAACCCTTCCTGCTTAATCTTATCGACACGCCCGGTCATGTCGATTTTAGCTACGAGGTGTCGAGATCGCTTGCGGCTTGCCAGGGTGCCCTTCTGGTCGTGGATGCTGCCCAAGGTGTTCAGGCGCAAACTGTCGCTAATTTTTATCTTGCGTTCGAGTCTGGCCTCGCCATAATACCTGTAATAAACAAAATAGACCAGCCGACTGCTGACCCTGAACGCGTCAAAGCCCAATTGATGTCAATGTTCGATCTTGACCCGAGTGATGCTCTTCTGACTTCTGCCAAGACTGGACAAGGTCTTGAGCAGGTGCTTCCGGCTGTCATAGAGCGCATTCCTCCTCCTCCTGGGAAGAATAATTCACCTTTGCGAATGCTTCTATTAGATTCCTACTATGATGAATATAAAGGAGTGATCTGCCATGTGGCTGTAGTTGATGGTGCTGTGCGGAAGGGGGATAAAATTTCCTCGGCTGGAACTGGTCAGTCTTATGAAATACTGGATATCGGCGTTATGCATCCTGAACTCACCCCTACTGCAGTCCTTTTAACTGGACAAGTGGGTTATATTGTTAGTGGAATGCGGTCAACCAAAGAAGCACGGATAGGAGACACTCTGTATCATAGCCGAAACACTGTGGAGCCCCTTCCAGGTAGATATCTTTAGCTTTAGCTTCGTATCTTGATTTGTTTTTTCTATCTAGAGAGCCATGCCAGCATCCATTGAAGTCTTAAACTCTACCAGTTCTACACCACACTTATTGTTATCAGAATTTTTTCTGTGGCTCGTAAGTGGTTATGAAACATGACCTGCTTTACGGTCTTGGGAAGAAGATCAGAACCTTTCTGATACATTTTACTATATTGCTGCAGTACTCACTGTATTAAGGGCGAGTGGAACATCTTAATGTGCATGCAAGTGGACTGGTTGGTCCTTGACACTGGGAGAATTAATTTGTTAAAGAATATTATGTAATTAAATTACATATATCAACGTGAAAAGTCTGGTAATTGCATGATGTGTTGCCATGCCGTGCTTGTCAAAGAGAAGATGTATATTGTGGAGAACTGAGGCTGTAATGTTTATTGGAACAATATGTATAGAGCTTTGGTGGAATTTTCTCCTATTTAAAGATTTCTATGTATTGTCTTTGAATAGCACCGCTTCTGTTTGGGACTTTGTTTCTACATGAAATGATTAGAGTGCTAAACCATCAGTTGAGAACTTGAGGTCACAATTTGAACTTGTTATGTATCTTTCTTCATCTTTTGGATTACTAAGAAAATTATATGAAAGCTTTTGTGCACTTTGTCCTAGGGACCTACAATCTTTTGAAACCAGACCAAACTGGCTAGTTTACCAGTTTGGTAGGAATTTTGGCTTGAGGTTTGGTGTCACTTGGGCTTTGAACCAACCATGGTTGAAAGTCAGATTGAACCCACATCGACAGTGTCAAAACGGGGCAGTTTAACTGGGTTAAATCTGTTTGAACAGTTTCTATTGAGAAAGAATAAAATGTAATGATGACTATATATTTAGTGATTTGAACCATGGATTTACCCTTCAGGTTACTCCAACCCCTCAATTTCAGTAAATTGTTCTTAAAATATTTGACGTAGAACACTTATTAAATATAGAGAATGCTTCTGTGAAGATTTAAACGCCAGATCTGGGAACCCATAAATTCGTTGGATGCCTATGATGCGCCATTGAGCCACCTCTTTCTATGTGTTGTTGTATTAAGATAGTTATTTGGAAAAAGTCCAAATCACCTATCAACAAGGTAGTCAAAATCACATTTTCAATTAGAATCGGATGGTATGTCTCCATATCGGATGGTAGTCCGAATCTTAAAACTGTAGGAGAAACATTTCAATCTGGTAAAGATGATCTTTAAAGTTGATTTCACTTGCTTCTTTGAAGAACCATTCGGAGGACATCATCCTTTAACTGGAAAACTGTAGGCTAAAGTTTTGAGTTCCTGTCAATTAGAACATTTTTATCTCTCTGAACAGAGAAGTGAACATCACTTGGGAAGCTCTTCAATTTACTTTCCTTTTATTAAACTGATCTTATGAAAAAACCAATTTGCTTAAGGTGGTTGTCTATTTGTTATTAATCTGTGAAAACGTCAGTATACGCCAGACTTACTGCTGTTTTGATATAGAAAGCCCATTGTCACATCACGTACCTCACTAATAAAATTAATCAAACCTTACCTCAAAGTTTCATCTGGATGATATATTAAAATTGGAATTTGAGCATTTAACAAAATTTTTCACGTCTTAGATGTAAATGGACATTTTCTTGTAATTGTAGTTTTTGGTGAATTTTGCATTAAAAGCATGTGATATTTTAAACTATGAATTTAATTTTGCGGTATAAAGTTTAGGCAGTGTCTTTATTAATTTGAAAGTAAGGTAGTGATGGAAATTGGGCCCATTTAGAGGTACATAATCTGTAATCTTTCCCAAATTATTTTGTGGTCTATCTTTCTGATGAACTGGTGACTTGAGCAGTTTAAACACTGGTCCAGTAGTGAAAACATCCGTAAGTAGGAGGTTGGTCAGAGTGCAGAAATAAATTGCGTGAGTCTATAGACTAATTTCTCAAAATAACAGGTGCATTACAGTTGTTTCCCCTCATATAAACTGTAATCACTCAACTTTCTGTGGAATAATCTTTCTTCTAGCGTAATGGGCACTGTCTTAAGGAATGTGAAGGAAGCTGATATAAGTGTTATGTGGACTACATATTCTTCTCTGGTTACTGGAAGCATTGGGCTCAGTTTGGTGACTTACTTGTAATTGGATCAATAGATAGTCCTGTTTCATGCTCTAACCCATCTCTGTTTGGATTTAGAGTTTCTTATCCTTGCGGTTTGCCTTTATTAACGGTTCTAGTCGATCCAAAATTCAGGTTTCAAGCCCGCAAAGCACATGGTTTTCTCTGGTCTTTATCCAGCTGATGGTTCCGATTTTGAGGCACTTAACCATGCAATAGAAAGGCTTACATGCAACGATGCCAGCGTCTTAATTAGCAAAGAGAGTAGTACAGCCCTTGGCCTTGGTTTCAGGTATGGAATCAACCCCGACATGACAACATGTTCTTCTGATTGCCAATGAAGCAGCTCAGTTCTACTTTTATCTAATATTATCAGTTCCAATCCATCCGGTGTTTCAATGATGATTCTTTGTTTTTCTTGCAGGTGTGGTTTCCTAGGTTTGCTTCACATGGATGTTTTTCATCAGCGGCTTGAACAGGTATTCTCCCTTGTTCTTTGTTATTTTATTCTAAAGGTAAACTTGGCAATTCATTACAGTAAACTTGGTGGAAGAACATGTAAACTTTGTACTTTAGTGAGGTCTGTGAAGTTTATCTCTTGATGGGTCAATATGGTGCCTCTATGGTCATGGAGAAGCCTGAACATCTTCGCCTATAATCAAATGGGCTGATGAGAAAACACTTCAAAGAATGTTTTGGTCAAAATACCAGGGATTCATTGCTTGCAAATGGAATTCTGCATTAATGGCTTTAATGTGATTAAAATGGCTGATTTTTAAATGAAGCAATGATTTCATGAAAATAGCCTGGTAATAGTTGTTGATGCCCCAAGAAGCTTGTAAACCAAGCATAAGCATGATGCTTCTTGTGCACTTGATAATTAGAGGTTAATTATCTTATAGTATGTGAAAGTCGGCTTTTTAAGGGGGCTATACTCATCACTATTTAAGTGGCTTATTTTCTTTGTTTAATCCACTTTTTTTTTTCTGTCAATTGATGTTTTGCATTCATGTTGGTGTTAACAATTCATGTCACTTTGTTTATTGCTAAAATAACCTATATCCTATCCAGCATGATAAGAATTAATCTTCATTGTTGAAAACATTCCAAATCTTGTCATTTTCAAGTTAGTTGTGTTTGTGTTGTGCTGATAAATATCTCGTGTCAAGTCTTTTTCTCATTACCTATCAGAAAATGTTCCCCTGGGCACCAACCCACTCTTGTTCATGATGTTGTTTTCCTCAATCATGTATTTCGTGGTCATAAGTTCAGATAACTTCTCTTTCTTTCCCTTCATTTTTCATTAAAACACTTAATAGTTACTCCAATGTTGATTTCTTTTTCCAGTTGCATCCCTTTCCATTTCATTGTTAACATTTCTTATTTAAAAGGGAAATTGCTTATTATATATTATTTTCCCTAACTAAATACAAATATTGAGGCCAGAATCTTAGGAAACAAAACATATGATTTCCCCTGCGTGACTCAATAACTTCATTAAATTGACTTTTTTATCTCCCATAAGTTTGTAGACTAAGTTGATTTTTTTTATTTAATCGTAAGTTTATAAATTTCTTAGATAGGCCATGTTATTTGAAGTCAAGTCGATAACTAGCACCTGATGAATATGAATGTTTCTTTTAATGAAGCACAAACTAAATCTCATGTTCCTGGAAAAAAAAAACAAAATAAACTCGAAGAATGATAGAACTTGTTTAAAAAATAAAAAGGATCATTTCATATCTAATAATATGAAACATTTACAAAAATAAAATCCAGATACCCTATGTCATTAAAAAAAAAAAATACAGATACTCTATGATTTTTGCAAGTTACATGGTTTATCATGCAAATCCGTTTATGGATATTTTAAAACTATGTCTCCCTTTCAAGAACATATAAATCACAATTAACTGATCGTACTCTACATATCAACCTGTGAATCTGTGATGACTTCTTTTTCTCTTCTTTTACTTGTTATTAATGATCGTTACCAAATAGCGGTGTGTTTTTTTCGATGGAACTACATTATATACACTACTAGTGGATATGTTTTGATGGAGATGGGTTTGATTGGTGTGTAGTGCTGGAATCAGATATGACTATCGTCTATTTGATGGTAGATGTGTCGTTAGGAAAAGACTACCTGTGGAATTCCAGATTTTCATTGGCGGTTAATAGAATAGGAGTAAAAAATGGGCAGCCCGGTGAATGAAGCTCCTACGATGCTCAATTCTGGGGAAGGTTCAGACCACTTTGGGTCTAAAGTATGTAGCCTTACCATGCAATTATGTCAAGAGGCTGTTTCCATGACTCAATACTGTGATCTCCAGGTCACATGGTGACAACTTTAACATTTCGCCAAGGCTCCCCTTTAGTGGATAGAATAGGAGTGCTTAAAAACTACTTTTTATCTGGTGATAAGTGCACTGGAATCCTAAAACTTGTCACGAAAGTGCAATTGAGTCCTAAAACTTTCAAAAAGTGCGATTAAGTCCTAAAACTCGTCATATTGATGCAGTCAAGTCCTTCCATTAACTTTGTCCAATTTGGCTAATAGAAAATACTGACGTGGCTTTTTTTTTTTAAATTATTTTCTTTATCCTACATGGTGCTAACGTGGCTAAAATAAAATCGTTTTGATCCAAATCTGATTTTTTAATACAAATTTTATTTAATATATATTAAAAAATAAACAAACTTTAAAAAATACTTAAAAAAAAGAGGAAAACGCAGGCAAGGGCTTGCAGCCCTTGTTGCTACCTCCGCCCCACCATCGCTGGAAAGGGCTGGTGATGGTGAGGGGATGGCCGGCGGGAGTCGCCGGGCCTCAGCCAGGGGCCGGTGACCCTCACCGACTACAGGCAAGAGCCCGACGACCCCTACAGACCATTCCCCCACCATCCCTTCCTGGTGATGGTGGGGCTCGCTTGAGTTTTCCTTTTTTGTGTTTTTTTTAATTAGCTTATTTTTAATGTAATGTAAATAAAATTTGTATAAAAAAAATCAGATTTAGACCAAAACGTCGTTGTTTTAGCATTATGTTTCATGTTTTAGCCACGTCATCGCCACGTTGGAAAGAGAAAATTAAAAAAAGCCATGTCAGCATTTTCCGTTAGTCAAGTTGGATGGAAATAACAGAATGACTCGATTGCATCAATTTGACAAGTTTTAGGACTTAATTGCACTTTTTGAAAGTTTCAGGACTCAATTGTACTTTTGTGATAAGTTTAAGATTTCCAGTGCACTTATCCATTTTATCTGCAACAATCCTGGGGCATGTAGTATTGCTTCCGTTAATTTGGAGATTCTGTGTCATGTTGTTCAATGGCTCAATGATTATAGTGGGACATTTGGGGTTGATCAACCTTTTTTTATCAAAGTTAATCCCTCTTATTATTATTGCTCCTTTTTCATATCAATTTGGAAATGTGTCATTTCAGGAGCATGGAGTTCATGTCATTTCAACTGTTCCAACTGTGCCATATATTTTCGAATATTCTGATGGAAGGTATAAGACTAATTTATTGTGCCTCTTTCTGTCTTGTGTTTTTGCATTTAGCTTAACTGTTTCGTAGACTCATCTCTCTCTCTCTCTCTCTCTGTAGCAAATTAGAAGTTCAGAATCCTGCCTTGTTGCCGTCGAATCCCAAAAGTCGAGTGACAGCCTGCTGGGAACCTACAGTTATAGCTACCATTATTATTCCTAGTGAGTAAGCTCTCATACTCCCCTTAAAGCATAATCAGTATTTCTTTCAACATTGGGAAGTGCATTATCATTTATACTTCTGATTTGCATCTGCTATCTGCCTGAAGCTATGTTGGATCTGTTATCACACTTTGCTCTGAGAGGAGAGGTCAGCAGCTTGAATACTCATTCATTGACAGGTAAATACTGTGCCAAACCATTGCCTTTTGGCTGGATCATGAAGAAAGCCCTTCGTTGTAACATTATCGATATCCGTTGTTTAGATTGCTGTGCGGCTGTGTGTGCTGAACCATTTGAGTTAAGTGCAAAAATTGAATTTAAACGATAGAATCTTTCTGCTCCACAGATTAACATGCCATTCTGCTTAGAGAAATCTACACTGATTGACCTATAAAACCCTGACCTTTTAATTTGGACTTCAAGGGGAAAATAGTGATAGCTTGGTGAATTTTCACGTGCATGCATTGAACTGACAGTAGGAGCAAATTCTTCCACCTCTCTCTCTCTCTCTCTCTCTCTCTCTCTCTCTCTCTCTCTCTCGTGCTGGTATGCTATTTTCAGTTCACACCATCTCCTTTTTGGGGAAGGGGGTGAATCACTATTAAATGTTGTAAATGACTGTTTTTAGCACTATTCACCCTTTTATTTATTCCGGAAGATGGTTTCTAGTGCACGTGTTTTCTATTTCTTGTTTTGTCTCACTTTTGCATGAGATTGATCCTTTTGAGTTTGACATATGCAGCCAACGGGTCTTTATGAAGTACCGCTTACCTTTGAGAGAGATTGTTGTCGACTTTTATAATGAACTCAAGAGTTTAACATCTGGATATGCTTCATTTGACTATGAGGATGCAGAGTAAGTGAAATCTCTTTATGTGTTTGGGTCTGTTACATGAATGATTGAACTTGTGAGGATTGTGATTTCGAATATTCTACGCGCTTTTATTCTGTTAATGTTAACTAACATAATAGCAGTGGTGTGATGGCCTCGTGGGCTCTCTTTTGGTGCTTGGTTGTCCATTTCTTAGCAAAACATCAAGTTACAACTGCTCTAGATAAGCCTTTGTGCTGCTGCTGTTACTATCCCCAATAAGAATTGGGCATGACGCACATCCCAATTGTTTGGAGTTGGGCAGGGCTGGGGCAAGTAGGGAAGGAAGGAAAGAAAGAAAAGAAAGGAGGAAAGGGAGGGAGAGTAGGGGTGTTTTAGAGAGAGAAGGACAGGGTTGGGGAAGAGGTGGGGGGGGGGGGGGGGGGGGTGGGTTTGATGGGGCGCTTGGTGAGCTGTTATACCGTTCTCCTATGTGAAGTGCTATGATATGGCAAACGGAACCTTGTTAGTGAATTTTGAAAGACCTGCAGCTTGTGGCACAATTACCTCTGTAGTGTACAGTGTTGCTTAATGGCTGTTTTCCATCATAAAAGGAACATATGGCTAGATTGTACGCTTTAAGGTTTAAATAGTAGAGATATATTAGCTGAAGGAAAAGGTCAAGTGCTAGAGTCTTGAATATGTGTATCACTTTGATGGTTTGACCTCTTTGATGGGTTGGTTCAGCTATCAGCAATCCGATTTAGTGAAGCTCGATATTCTCTTGAATGGACAAACTGTTGATGCCATGGCAACAATAGTTCATACCTTGAAGGCACAGCGTGTTGGCCGTGAATTAGTCGAGAAGCTGAAGAAATTTATAGATAGGTAAATGATTTAGTTTTTTTGATTTGCTTTCTATTTTGTTTGGTGGTATTATTTTGGCGCAGTCTCTTATTATCTCAGTTTTGATCAGACAAATGTTCGAGATAATCATACAAGCTGCGATTGGATCGAAGGTCGTTGCAAGGGAGACGTAAGTATTGAAATCACTTATTACTTCTGATATAGTCGTGGGCTCCCAGCCAGAGGGACTAACCTATGTGTGTGAAATGGGCTTCCAATGAGTAAAATAATAAATGCTTCATTGTACTTGATTGTTGCCTTTGTACCTTTAATTGTGACCAGAAAAATATTTTGTCTCTGTAAAAAACTTGCCAAATTTTTGTACTGGTTTACATTTTGAAGAACATTGAAACTTGCCTCACAGTAACCACATATAATAGTGGGTCCTCCCAATAGTTGAAAATAATTAATGAAAACCAAAAGAGACCCAAAAACTAATGCTGGGGGAAGAGCTTCAAGCTGTCAAATGCAAAACAAAAAACGCTTTACTTGATGTTCTCCATACCAGGTACACATTGTTATATAAACCCTAAAGCTCTCTTTTATTGTTAGCTCACTTTGATGGATGAGCAGAGAAGCTTCAAATCCCTCATTGCTATGAGATGCTTTAATGTTCAATCCCACTTGTCCCTTCTCAGGATTCTTGCCAAGTGTGGATAGTAATGCAATTGACTGATTTTTTTTTTTTGTGTATGTCTGTGAGATGGCTCTTCACGTGAATGATAACTTGGTGTGGGATTGTGTTGGATGGGTAAAGTTGGTTGTGTCTCAATTAGGGAAATTAGAAACATGAATATGATTTTCTTTTCAGTTGGTAATGCGACGCTGGGAGTTCAAATGATCTCTTGAGGCATGTCTTCATTCTGTCACTTTTTAAAATGTTAATACTGATCGCTACATTACTTGGTTGGAAGAAAGCGCATCAGTATCTGGAAAGTGTATTTGAAAACCATAGCAATTGGTATTACCATTCTAATAGGTCTACTTTTCAGATGGTAATTGATCTACCTTTCAGATGGTAATTATGCAGACAAGATGTAGTTTTGCTGTTACAGTAGATAAATAATGCATCAAGTGCATGAAGTAAAATACTTTGCCCCCACTAACATTTTATCATCGGTCTGTACCTGCCCTGCTTCCAGCTAAAGCTGTCTGAATTTTCTGGCTCTTACTAAATTTTGATGTCGCAAGTAGTTAAAAGACATTGTTCTTGAGTGGCTTTGATTCATGTAGTGCACGTGTTTGGGTATAGGATATCTGCCATGAGAAAGAACGTTCTTGCCAAGTGTTATGGTGGGGATGTTACGCGGAAGAGAAAGCTTTTGGAGAAGCAAAAGGAAGGAAAGAAGAGAATGAAACGTGTTGGTTCTGTTGATATACCTCAAGAGGCCTTCCATGAAATTTTGAAGGTGACATAGAGGACCATTAAAGTTATCTAAAGGTAGGAGCCCCCTTGCTGTGCCAGTGCTCCCATTCAATATGCATTAATATTTCCGTTTTCCACTGAAAGGTTTTGGGTTCAACTTCTTCTCAACAAATTTACCAAGTTTGATGTGGTGAACTGCTTTCAGTCTTTGGTCGCAGCTGTGTGAACACTCCTTGTTTGCGGGATTGTGGCGTGGAGAAAACAAAATGAATGCAATTTCAACAGCTTCTCTGAGATGGAAACTGAAGAGGCAAGTCTGATGTTTGTTTGCTGACAAACATTATTCTTGATATCTCAGAAGGTTTAAACATATCCTGGAAGGCAGCCACTTTTCTATCCTGTGATCCTACTCCAAGTTCGTTTTTTTGACACTTATCTAGCGAGTTTGGCCGGGCAGAAAACTGCAGAGTTGGGTCTTAAAACACCACCTCTGAGGTGGACAGGCAATTTTGCTGTTTAGTCTTTTCTCTCATTCTTGTATCAATTGTAATTGTGATTGGGAAGCATTTTGGGTTCTTTCTATCTCCGTGGGTGGGCGATGGTGAAGTCAATTTGTTATTTATCGTGTCCCTGTTGTACACTTAACATTTACATAAATCTTTGTTATGTAGCAGGAATAGACTACAGTATCTGTCATGTATTGTATTGTTGGGAATCCAGTAATGCCCATCAACAGAAGAAACGATCGTGTAATCAAATGACGATGCCTCAATTGTACAAAACTTGTGGGCAGAATTTTTGAATATGATGCATGTTTTTGAGAATAAACTGTCACCTAGAGGTGATTTTTCGTAAAATATAGATAATTATTGCTTGCACTGTCACTAGAAGAAAATCTTTCTGCAGCCGGCCTTCTCTATGTTCGATTTGGTGGTAATGTTTACATATTAAGGAATGGCCAAAGTGTACGTGTAGGCTATAAAGATGTGTTGGCACAATTGCTTTTACGCACGGAGAGCTTTTGCTTTTGAGGTTCTTGAGTACTCATTTTCGAGTGAAGCTATTGATTGCGTGCCAAAACCTATCAATGATAACAGTTTGACCACCCTGAGTTTTTTTTTGTGCTGTTTACTATGTCATATAAACTCAAAAAGGAATTGACATATGCATGTAGATTGGAGTGCAAAAATATTGAAGTTCAGCTTTATTTAGAACTGTGGACTTAAAGCCCAAATTGTTTTAGCTACTTCATTGATGAAGGTGCTTGCGGTGGGTGCAGTATTATGCATATCATATCAAAGATAGAACAGAATTGACTTTATCTTGATTTCCCACCTAGGCAAAAATTCTGACACTCCGTCAATTTATTGTTAGTGTGCGTTAGGAATATATAAAATTCATTTTCAAGGAAAATGGTTAGTTTTAATTTGTTTGGTGATTTTGAAAAAGTGATTTTCTTTGTGCCATAAAGAGAAGCCATTTTTTCCAAATATAAATATAAAATACATACGTGAAGAGATATAAAAATACATACTTATCGTAACTAAACTTTACATTATGGCAATGTTACGTACCATTTTATTTGAAACTTTGCATATCTTTCAGAAATTTCGATATGCAAGTTGTAGCTTGGAGTAATAGCCATAATGTCGTCTATTGTCATCATTTTGATCTTTCAATAACTTTGGCACTACATGCACGCGGGCGCGCACCTCATGTTCGTATCTGACTTGTACACGATAATTGGAAATGCCTACGTTGAGACATCGTATTTTGCTTCCAGTCAAGCATTTGGGGTTCCCTTAATATCTGGAAAACTAACTGAGAAGGATTGTCAGCCAGTAACGGATCGAATGTTGCAAAGATTAGTAGTTGGACTTCAAAGATTTTTATCTTTGCCAGATAGGCTGCTATTATTGGTGCCATGCGCTTGTGCTTCCTTAAAAGGGTTATCAAAGGAATAGGAAGCAAGTATATTTCCTTTTGCTGAAGGGCACTACTAAAAATTCTAAGGAGGCTAGAGTTGCTTGGAAGTTACATGTTTCCCTGGAAAGAAGGTGGTTTGCAACTTAAAAACTTAAACCAGTTTTGAATATAACTTGTATTTTAAGATATATGTGGCTGATCATGGTTAAAGCAGACTCCATTTGAGTTGTTTGGATTGAAGCTTATAAATTAAAGGGGAAGAGTCAAAGGTCACTTCCCAATCACAATTCACGACTGCTGCTTCTTATGCTTGGAGGGCTGTTATGAAAATAAGGAAGTTTCCTAGGCCTTTGATAGAGCATATAATTGGTAATCGCATGAATACTTTTCTCTGGCCAGCTTATTGGCATCATGATGGGCCACTTCTTGATAAATATGGTTGGAAGGTTGTACAGGGTGCCGAATTACTTTGTCAAGCGAAGGTAGCTGCCAGTATTGCTGATATGGGTTGTATGTAGTCAAATGCAAGACCTGATTGCCTGGTACACATTCAATATGTGGGTTTCTCTTTCCTGGTGATGGAGATGATAAAGTGGGTTCGGAATGCTGATCCAGGTAAGAAATGTTTCAGTTAGTAGTGCCTGTCTATATCGAGACAAAAGAGGCCAAAAGTGAGTCGGCATCACTAGTTCCAGTTTCCTCTTGATGCGGGAGCATCAAGCTCTATCGATGAACCCTCAACATCCACTTATGTCTCGTCAATCAGGAATTTCCAAAACAAAACTGCAAGCTTCATCAGGGTTTACGAGAATCGGAATGAAATCACGTAAAGGAGATTTGATAATGTTGGACAGTTCAACAACTCTAACAGTGAAATTTTTCTTCTCAAAGGTGAATACAAACGAGTCGTAGCTTGGAAAATGCTTATTGGAATAAAACAAAGCCAGATGTTTGGAAAAATTTCGTCTCGCATGGAGGAGGAAAATTTCAAGTTAAGATTTTCATGCGGTAGTCAACTCAGTTGACATGTAACCTACTTCAAACATAGTACGACCATATAAATGCGAATAATAACATATCCCGATCCCACATATAAAATTTTTGTTAATCCCCTAAATTTGAGGTACAATTTAGTCCTCAAATTTACTCCCTTAGATAATTGGTACCTCAGTAATCAAGTAACAATGACTAAAGACTTAGCCCAATCCTCTATTCCCTTCAACTTTAATACCTTTTTTCTTTGGTTGGAAACTTTAATACCTTAGGATATGGAAAATTATACATAGAAAAACCTTGATCACATCTCTTTCTCTCCCTCTCTCTAGGTCTTAGCCTCCGTCACGCTCGCTAGAGGAAGAATTTACGCGACAACCATTTAAAGGAGATAAACTTACCGGTGCGAGAAATTTTGTTTAGTGAAAGTAGAGTAGAATCAGAATGGTTGACATTTTATTAGCAAGGTCACTAATAAAAAGGCCCTCTTGCTTGCTTTCTTTCTGGACTTTGAGAATTAGAATTGATATATCAATTAATTAATCAAGTGCCCATCCTAGACATGGAACCGGAAACCGGAGGACGATTCAACCGTTAGAAAAGGTCAGACAAAAGGTTTACAAGAGCGTTGTGAACGTAATTTAGCCGGCCGTCTCCATGTGGCGGGATAACCAAGAGGCCGTCTCCGAATCCAATACACATATTCTCACTCTCTTTTGGACCGTCTACGTGTATATATAAGCCCTCACTTTTGAATGTCATACAAGTGGAAAACGATATCAGCTGTTGAAAATGGCCCCTCTTTCCAAGCTTCTCTTGATGAGTTTCATCAGCTGTGTTGTGTTGGTGCCCTACGGAGAAGCGTCTGGTGAAGATCACAAGGCAAAACGAAATTCATATTACTGTGTCTTGGATTTGATTTCGATTGTGTCGATGAGTATGTTTTGTTGATTGAGACAGGTGTATGTCGTGTACATGGGTGGACTTCCCAAACAAGCGGACTTCTTGGCAACATCGGTGCACACCAGCATGCTACAAGAAGTAGTTGGCAGGTTAATATGCTTTGTACTTTCTTATCAAGTTCTCTAGAGCATTACGAAACTATATACATACATTTGATACTTACTACACTTGGTCTATTCTATCAAACCTACCAACAACAAATTTTTGGCATTAGTATTATCTCCGGGTAGTGTCTAACGTGCTCTGGGCACCTCAACTTTCTCCTACAGAATACGATGTAAGAGGAACTTCAATTTATTCAAACGGGTAAAAGATAGGTCTATTCTACATGAGGAATGCCCAAAAACTTACTTTAATGATACCAACCACCTAAATAATTCTAATATCAACCGCACGATTACTAATAACCGATCCACATAACATGAATTCTCCCACGGTGTACAATTTTACTAAACGTCTTTTCTGTGATTGCATTTCGAATGATTGCATTTCGAGCTTTACATTGGCTTTATCATTTGTAATAGCGAGACAATGTGGGATTCAAAAGGTCCTTATAGCTAGACATGGGTCATCTCTATACTGATCATAACCGAGTTTAACCCCGTCATTTGACCATTTTCTTCTGCAGTCGCGCATCTGAGTCGTTAGTTCACAGCTATTCGAGGAGCTTCCATGGATTCGCTGCCAGACTCACTGAAGATGAAATGGCAAAAATCGCAGGTGCAAAATAATACCTAAGTTCCATGGTCAATAACAATCCATGCATGACATCGTTCAATATATTGTAATAATTCGTCAACCCATGTATAAATCTCATCAGGAATGGAAGGAGTAGTGTCGGTGTTCCCAAGTGAGAGGCATCAACTTCAAACGACGAGGTCATGGGACTTCCTGGGCTTCTCTCAGAGCGTGCAAAGACTGCCGACTGAGAGTGACCTCATTGTTGGAATGCTTGATACGGGCATCTGGCCTGAAAGTGACAGCTTTAACGACGAAGGGTTTGGCCGTCCTCCAGCCAAATGGAAGGGCACTTGCCAAACCTCCAACTTCACTTGCAATAAGTACTACATTATGCATTGTTATCTTTGTTTATGTAATATAAGTAGTATTTGTGCATCAATTGTATTAGAATTGAATTTACAGCTGCAGGCACTCTGATTGTTGACACATGCTGTAACGCTGTGTAATGTGATAGTTGACAGAATCTAATTTCTCTTTCCTGGGTTGATTGTTTTGTAGTAAAATCATTGGAGCCAAATACTACCGGCAAAACACCACATATTTACCGGGTGATATAGCTTCGCCTAGGGATTCCATGGGTCACGGATCTCACACGTCGTCAATAGCAGCCGGTGGCTCGGTGAGCGGAACAAGCCTATTCGGCCTCGGCTCTGGGACAGCCCGAGGAGGAGTCCCTTCTGCCCGCATCGCCGTTTACAAAGTGTGCTGGACTGATGGCTGCTACGACGCAGACATGCTTGCCGCGTTTGATGACGCCATCGCGGACGGAGTGGACATCATCTCCATCTCCATTGGCTCAAGGTTTCCCCGCGATTACTTCACGGACTCAATCGCAATCGGATCTTTCCATGCGATGAAGCAAGGCATACTCACATCAGCGGCAGCTGGGAACTCTGGCCCTAAACCGGCATCGACCACAAACTTTTCCCCTTGGTTTCTCTCGGTCGCGGCCAGCACAATAGATCGAAAGTTTGTGGACGAAGTTCTGTTAGGAAATGGAAAGTCTTATGAGGTAAAGAAACCCTATGAATGACTAATTTTCACTTCAAATACATATCTGAATTCATACATTTCTTCTAGTATATTTGCACTACTAAATGGTAGTATATAGTTAGCACTTACTCATAATGCGATTCTTATGTATAGGGAGTCGCAATCAACACTTTCGACCTCAACAACACGATGTACCCCATGATATATGGAGGAGATGCCCCAAATATTGCACAAGGATTTAATTCAACCCAATCAAGGTATATTATATATATAATATATATTAGAGAGAGATTGAATTATCACTATGCCTGAAATTAATAAGCATAGTATATGTACCTTGTAGGCTCTGCGCTGGGAATTCTCTAAACAGCTCTTTGGTGAAAGGTAAGATCGTGTTGTGTGATTCCCTCAATTCCGGCGATGCCACTTTAACGGCGGGCGCTGCCGGCTCAATAATGCAAGGCTTGGGAGTCATGGACTTTGCGTTGACCTTCCCGGTGCCTGCCTCCTTGTTGAACGCAGCAGATGGAAGTGAAGTTTCTGACTACATGAACTCAACTAGGTGAAGCGTTTGCAATCTCAACTGATTTTAACTTAGTGAAACAAAAAATGTGAACCGATTTGTGGTCAGATACTTACCAGAGGATGAATAATGTTGGGAACTTTCTTTTCTTCTTCCACTAGAAATTCTACAGCAACCATATTTAAGAGCACACAGATCACAGATTCGTTGGCTCCGGCGGTTGTTTCGTTCTCCTCAAGAGGCCCAAGCCCAATTGCCAGGGACATTCTCAAGGTATGATCGGACCGTGGAGGCGATTTGTTTCATCAATTACGGATTGAGTAGGAATTTGTTCAATTAATTATAATAGCCAGTATCGACATTCATATATGTTGTGTGTAGCCTGATCTCGCTTCCCCAGGCGTGGACATTCTAGCAGCATGGTCGCCGGCTTCGACCGTGACCGGGTTATCAGGTGACCCGAGGCATGTTTCGTACAATATAATTTCTGGCACCTCCATGGCTTGCCCCCACGCCACCGGTGCGGCCGCATATGTCAAAACGATACATCCGACGTGGTCTCCGGCAGCTATTAAGTCAGCCCTGATGACGACAGGTAATGACTGAAATTGCATTGGAGACGAAGAGTTGACAAAAACCATGGATGATCTTTTAAATTTGCATGTCACAACGTTTCGTGCAAAGAACCTTAATCGCATTTTATTGCTCAAATCACTACCAACAGATGAACAGCATTGAAATTTAATTGCGAGAGATATAATGGGTCGTGATACACAATCGATATATTTTAACCAGCTACGAGTTTTGCATGGATGATTCACTCACTACACCTTCTGGCTTTTGCAGCTTCTCCAATGAGTCCTCTCAAGAATACCGATGCCGAATTCGCGTATGGAGCTGGTAACATAAACCCTTTGAAAGCAGCGAACCCGGGTTTAGTGTACGATGCCAAGGAGGCAGATTATGTGCAATTCCTGTGCGGACAAGGTTACAGCACCAGCAATCTGAGACTCATCACCGGCGAACAAAGCAACTGCTCAGACGTAAAAAATGCGACCGTGTGGGACTTGAATTTACCAACTTTTGCGGTATCGACTCAGACCAAAGGCTCCAATATCACAGGAGTCTTCCACAGGACCGTCACTAACGTGGGCAATGCGACTTCTACTTACAAGGCCACCGTGACGGCTCCTCAAGGATTCATCGTTCGAGTCGAACCACAAACCCTCACGTTTGAGTCTATCCTACAGCAGCAGAGTTTCGTGGTGACCGTCGAGGCAATCTTGGACGTGGATATGATTTCAGCGTCTCTGGTGTGGGATGACGGTCTTCATCAAGTGAGGAGTCCAATAGTTGCATTTGTGGTTTCCTCCTAGATTAACATTTGGAGTAAGGGAAAATTTCAAATAAGGATATGAAGTAGAGCCGTTTTCACGAAAATGGTCTAAAGTGAAATTGTCTCAAATAAGGATCTGAAGTATATATTTTAATCTCAAATAAGAGCTTGAAGTGGTTATCTTAATCTCAAATAAGGGCCGAGTAAGCACTTGCATCTCACATGCCACTGTGTCGGGGGCATTCTTGTCCCGGAACAGGTTCTTTCTTTTTCATTTTCTTTCTTATTTTTCTATGTTAATCTTCTTCTTCCCCTTTATTCTTCCGGCCAGCTCTCGGGTTCACCTTCTTCTTTGCCGAACACGACCATTTCTTCATCGATCGCACGAGCTGATCGATGAGGATGGCTTGGGCTTGGACGGTGGTAGTGGCAAGCAGCTGGAGGATGTAACGAGCCTAACGACACCGGCGATCCCAAAATCAAGCCAAGCTAGATTTTAGCGGGGATTCGTAACTAGTGGCGAGAAGTTTGTTCAGAATCACAATCAGTGGGAAAGAACAGACAACTATGTAATCCTTTGTTTTTGAGTTCGGCTCTGCTTTTGTGCTTTCATTGTTTTTCTGCTCTCTAGCCTCAATCCAATATTTGAGACTATGTAGCATCGACACCGACGCGCGACACGTGACACGGCACGACATGACATGCGACACGCCATTTCTCAAAAAATAGAGAATTCCGACACGTTGGGATACGTTGTATATTAAATATATATTTTTATATATACACGATAAATTGTTATTTTTAAATTTGTTTCAATCCACAAATAAAATAAATAATAATAAACAGCCTCGAATTTACTTCGTGTCTTAGAAAAATAAATAATAAAAAAATAATGGCACATGCCGGGAGGGAGAGGAGGAGGAGTCATCTGCTAGAGGAGTTCTTGGTCCATGAAAACAAGGACAATGGTGCTGGGTTCAGGGTCTGAGGGTGGGGATTCGGGGGTTTGGAGCTTGGAGGATGCGAAGGAAGAAGATGAGAAATGGTGAGGAAATAGATGCAATCGATGTTCCTCTTTAAGGCCTTCTCCTTGGCGGATGTCATTAGTTTGAGTGAAGAAGAGAAATCACAAATCGAGAGGGGAAGGGAGTGCAGAGCGCGAGTGATGGCATTGTGAAGATGAGAACAAAAGACTAGGGTTTTCTTTCTTTTTTATTTTATTTTTATTTTTTTTATAAATTTACATTTTGACCCCTAATATTTTGAAAATTTATAAAATTGACCTAGTTCGTGTCGGAATCGCGTGTCGGGATTCTGGACTTGCATGTCGTGAGCGTGTCCGGTGTGTTGACTGCGTGTTGGATTTCCGACACCTATTGACCGCGTGCCGGAACGTGTCGGAGCATGTCAGACGCGTGTCGGCCTCTTGAACGTGTCCGTGTTACGTAGGTTTGAGAAGATATGAGTGATTGAACTTTTCCTTGAACAAGATAATGAAATGGAAGAGAAGAGGCGTGCAAATATGTTTCTCTTCCTCGGATTTTGATTTTCTTTATCACTAGTTTTCTTCCTCAACAACTCCGAAAACCGTAAAACTAAATTAACGAACTACAAGGCATAGATGCCATGTGAAAGTGAAAAGGCTTTTACAAAACCGATCATCTAAACGAGGACCGAATCTCTACCAGTGTTCTTCCCTTCGTCTCGGGAACAAGAAACGTCACGAAAGCAACCGTAAGAGCAGTCGTTACGGTGAAGATAGTGAAAGTCACTGTTAAGAATGTGGGAAAACAACTCAGAACTAAACACACACAAATACCCAATTATGCACATACCATATAGAGCAATTGAATTATATCAGTTGAGACGTACCTCCCGTGCTCCAATTCAACGGCAAATGTTGCTAATGTTGCTGCGCTCCCAACGAGACCCTTAACCGTTTCTATGATCGATCCAGACTTGTACTATTCCGATCTTGCTCAACTCTCAGGAAGTGTCGTGCCTTGACCGAACATCCTTAAACGTGTTGTGCGTGTGATCGGTCATGGCCATGCTTGAGAGCTTGGAGACATGGCGGCCATTGCAGCAAGTGAGAAGAGAGAGAACGGCCACAACGTCGATCCAAGGATGGATAGAGGAGCGGTCATTGATGATGCCAGTATAAAGGCTCAGCGGTGACTTCATGAATACCTTTTTTACATCCATTTGGAATAGAGACCGGTGTTTAACTGCGACAATAGTAAGAAGACTGCGGACAAGCTTTGTATCGGTCCACGTACTATCTACCTTTGTTTTAAATCCATGCTCCTTTTGTTCAGCGCACATTCCTAGGGTATGTTATGTTGCTTTTAGATGGGGAGGATATGATTATTCCTAGCGACGATCATAATGGCATTTCAAAAAACTCAAGTAATTTCTTATTCAAAAAAAATTCTCGTGCTGCTTTTAATCCTGTTTGCACATGAGAGAGAGTGTTGACATATTGTCCACATCACTTGACAATGGGTCGCATGTGCTCTTTATATTCTTATGGTCTCCCTCCACTTATAAGTTTGAGCTTTTAGGTTGGGCTTTTTAACGGTTTGTATTATTAAACGTGGTTGGTGAGTATTAATCTTTGTGTTTCTCTATATTTCGTGCACTTCTATCTTGGGACGTATCCACCTTAATGCATGTGGTGTCAATTATCATGCATTCGCATGGTGTATCCATATGTACGCTCAAGCGATCCTATGAAAGTAATATTTCTTTAGTCCCATCTTATATAAACCTATTTGTTATAATAACACTAGGAGTACATGTAATGACGAACTCTTATCGAAATCTCATAATATAGCCTACTTGTTAGTAGCCATTTTATAGTTCGTCATGCATGAACACTGACATGGCATTGGTCAAATTTAGGAGAGAAATTACTATATGAATGTGCTGGTGTACTCAATTGAATCCGGAACATTGAACACGGTGGACCACAACTGAGTCCAACATTTGCCCATCAGATCTGACGATTTAGATTCAATTCAGTAGACATACTTGATTAATTAAACAATTTCCCATTTTGATAAGTCTGTTAATTTTGACCAAACTCTCAGTTGGCGTACACAAAGATTTCTATAAGTTTAAATTAGTGTAATTGATCTTGAGTTTGCTGGAAGGTTTAAGATTTTGACGGCTATGCTCATCCATTGCCAATCTGGTGTGGAACTAAGAAAAGGCATTATTCGAAGAGCAAGAAACGTTGCAGGGTGTAAAACTATATTTCTTTTTATTTGGAATGTTAGTATGGACGTTAATTTTTGCGAGAGAAATAAAATGCGGAAAATTCTAGCAAAATATATATTCACATCATCCGAATTCTCACTAGAGCATACGTGAATTTTTTTTCAAAGCGGACTCAAATTCCATTGTATAGGTTAATTCTTTGGCTAAAAGAAAACATAAGACTTAAAATTTTAATATGAAATATTTCGAGCGCACAAATAATTTCAATCAATACGAAACAAACAAGTATAAAGTAAGAATGTGAGGAAAAAAAATGTTCCCTCTTTTAGATAACTTTCCTCTGTCTGGAGTTGATGTTTTCAAGATCATTTGATGTCTATCTTTTTATTTTAGCTAGAGTTGATAGAGTTCTTATCATTCACGACAATTTATCACAAAGAGAGTTATTGGCTATTTCGCGAAAATATGCCATATTTAATTTGTATTTTAAAGAAATTTGCAATATTATTTTCCTCAAAATGCCTAATTTCCTAAAAAACCCCAAACTTTAAATCTAGTCCCAATTCTGCCCCCAAACTCTTTTTTTGTCTTGGAAAAAACCTAAACTTTAGGTCCAGTCCCAAATTTATTTTGTTTGAAGCAAATCACTAACTTTCAATCTATTCTCAAATCTACTCCTATGGTCCAGTGTCAACTTAACGTGGTATTTTCCCATCAATAACAAATCCACATCAACAATGTGACATAGAAAATTATCTCTAAAATGAAATTGTTCTAAGATATGAAAATTGGGGATGACTAATGGTAACTTTTGGACAAAGGGTTAATGAGGGCAGATTTGGAAATAGAGTAAAAACTTGATGAATTTTTTCTTAGACAAAATAAAAGTTTGGGGAAAATTTAGGACTGGACCTAAAGTTGGGGGTTTTTTTTAGAAAAAAAAAAGTTCGGAGCAGATTTGGATTGGACCTAAAGTTTGGGATTTTTTTTCTAGATAATAAAAAGTTCGGGACAAAATTAGGACTAGACTTAAAGTTTGGGATTTTAGGGAATTAGGCCTTCCCCAAAAAGACAAATCTAGAATTCCCTTAATTTATTTTCGTGAAAAGATATTCACACATTCCTTTCTTTCTTGTGAAAATTTCATTGCTAATAGCGGTTTGTTAATATATTTTATATTCATTGATGCTTCATATTATTTTTTTTTCCACAAATCCGTAAATTTTCATTTGGTTGTATCATGATTGTATTGGTTAATTTATTTTGCTTAAGTTACTATATTTATATGCTATATACATATGAACATTCATGTCTATGAGAAAAAAATCGACATTAACTTAAAGGAGCACGACATATTGTTTAGAAGTGTGATGCATACTATATTTTACACTTGTTGTTGCTGCAAAAATATGCTTTAGAATTGTAATATTAGCTAAATAGGAGACAATTGAAAGAAAAAATAAATCACCAGAACTTATTTATGCACATAATTCCGATCGGTCACTTTTTGCAAGATCATTATGTGAAGAAAACCCTTCGCTTAGTCCCCCCTAAAAAAATGTTAATATCACGAAAAATTCCAAACTAGTACACTTGTGACAAATTTACCCAAAACTAATTTTTTGACTATAAAAAACCTCAAACTGGTATACCTGTGACAGATTTACCCTAAACTAATTTTTTGACCATAAAAAACCCCAAAATTGGTATAGTTGTGACAAATTTACCCTTCGTTAAATTAGATTAATATCACAAAAAATCACAAAATGATACACATGTGATAGATAGAGGATAAAACCCTAAACTGGTACACCCGTC